AACGGGGATTTTACCTTTTGTGGGAGTCCCAATAGCAGTCTGGAAGCTACATGGAATAAGACAGTCCCGTCCTAGATCCTTGGAATAGACAATTGCTCTGTATCTAGTTAATTACATTTACAATTAGTAATTACTAACATAGATTAAACTTTAAGTGATGAAGTTTAAATGTTTAAAGTGAGTTACCTATATTTATTGTGCTAATCTCTGCACTTAAAAAAAAAATTTGTATAAAAAATGGAGGAAATGCTTTTCGCCGCTTTTCAACATCCGGTCTCTACAACAGTTTGGGCGCCAATCTGGCAGACATGGGTTCGATTCCCACAACGGCGAAACTTGGTCCATTTTTTCGAGAAAATAGTATGTACCTACTGTACTTATATATCTGAAATAATGATGTATTTATTATTTACACGCCAAAAGCTCCGCCACGTAAGCGATATTGGCACGGAACTTTTGCGTCAGGTCGAGCAAGTTTTCGGAATCGGCGGGAATTATCAAGGTTTCTTGGCATTGAATGGGATTCCTTGACGGAGGAGAGGGGGGTTATCTCCAGCGGGTGGAGGGCATTCGCGTAATGGTAATGACGCCACGAATTTTAATCGACCGCCCCGAAGGCCGGTGTCGCTTATCTGCTAATGTCCCCGCGTGATTGATGAGCCCGTATTGAAATGCGCTCATTGAGGATCGAACCCTCGGCTCTTCGGACGGTGCCGGATTGAGTCGGCACTGGGCCGCGGTGAATAGACCGAGCGCCGATTACGTCACCACACGTTAATCCTCGTAGCACCTCAAAGGGTATATTTAGCAATCAATTATTCACTTGTTTCGTGGTTTATCTGGCTTGGTATCTATTTAAAAGTAAAGTAACAGTCTATATATGTCCCACTGCTGGGCAAAGGCCTCCTTTACACAAAAGGCCCTATTTGTAAGCCCTCTGGTGTTGTAGACGTCCATGGGCAGCGGCCATCGAGTGCGCCTCCTGCTCATTTTCCCCTTTTTACCATTAAAAAAAGAAAAGTAAAGGCATTAGAGCATCATCCACCGCGTGACCCCAATAAGATTGGCTGACTTCACATGTCTTCGAAATATTTTTTGTTGTCTCATTCTATCTAATTTTTGATTAGATATGATACGACATTAAATCGACCATCAATTCCTTATTAAATAACTTGATAACTAACTTGGCAACGAGGCTCAGGAATCATGATATCGTTAAAGATCAAGTAACTACCGAGGATGAATTTAAAGAAGAATGTGCAGAGTCCCTCATCATAGAATATTTTCGAGCAGTTAGAACAACAATAGTAGCGAACGTCACACTTTCACTTTGCCTCCCCCGTAATGAAAAGGGAATATACACCGCTCTGGTTTTTCCTTTCATCGGCAGCGCCGGCCCATAGAGAGCGTAATCTATTGAAATCGTTATCCGATAGAGCGGGGCCGTAACAACGACAGTTCCCGAGACTCGGGCCGTTAGAAAAAACAAAGGAAGTCGGAAACTTTGAGCGCCGCCTTCGATCATCGAAAAGTTCCCATAATAGATTCGTTCGCGACCCGATTGTTCCGCGATGAATGGGCACTAATTAAAACGGAGTCAAGGAGCGGCCGACTTCTGGATTGTTCCCGAACTGCGCTCCACTAGCGCCTCTCATATAAATATTGTTCGGAGTACGAGGAGCGAGTTTGGTGATAAATTAAAAATCGCTATTTGTTCGGACTTCGTTCCATATACGTATTTGAGCTTATATCTATGTCCATTATTATTATTTTATCACAAATTAACCTTTTGTAGACTTTTCTACTGTTCCAAGCGGCTTTATCCATACCTATCCTATCCTGTAAGTTTGTATGTTTCTGTTTTTGTTCTATTTCATTTTAAACGTTTATTCTGTCTTCGACAGAAGATGCGATGGCTACGTGTGCATATTATCTGCAGCAGATATAAAAGTGATACCTTGATCTTACGGTACCTTTACGGTGGTAGGGCCACGCAGCAGCCTCGGCTGTTGCACGAATGGGCAGGCCCGTCCGGGTAAGTACCACGACCTCACAGAAGACCAGCGTAAAGTGGAAGTATGACAAATACTTTCGCGTTTCGTCTGGTGAGTGAGGTAACCGGAGCCCAATTTTCAAAAGGTTGTCAACACATCTGTAACCCTCGGGTGTACCAGATGTCCATGGGTGGCGGTATTCACTTACCATCAGGTGAACCGTCTGCTCGTTTGGCAACTTTTCACATTAAAAAAAAAAAAAAAAAAAACTTTTAATAATCATTAATCTAGCTCTTCGTGAAAGACTTCATCTTCGTAATCTTCTTTGTATTCTTTTGGTCTTCGCGGGCTATGGCTATGGCAATATTGAAAGAACTTAACTTTTTTTTTCCAAACGCACAATTCAGCAAACGCCCGTTTATACATATACTTCCCTTTTCCGCTTCTCCACAGCTCTTTCAAAGCGAAGTTCCGCCTATTTAAACTTACTCGTAAAATTGCTAAAGCACAGCGCGCTACATTAATCACCGTAGCACTTTCCTTGCAAACATTTTTACATCTCCGCCTCTACGAGGCCTTTCGTAGCGGCCCGTCTACCCCGAAATTATCCGCACCTGATGAAGACAAATTAGCTTTGCATCTGTTTTAAAACGGCTGAATTTCGATTTCCATCTGTGTGTATCGCAAGTTGTTTGGTTGAGGTCCCGGGCGTTAACACAAGACCTCCCGAACGAACAGTCGGCACCGTGATATGCGCTCGTCAATCAACGTCCCGACTTATGAAACAAACGGAAGAGAGATATATGTTTGACAGTTTGACTGTAAATCTCAAGTGTGGCACATTTGTGCGCGCCCAGCCGGGGGACCGCGTAATGGGGATTAGATTAGACTTTGATGTTCTATCGCGCAGTACGGTTAGGACCGGAATTCCTAATTCTAACATTGTAAAATGTTCAACTTATTCCAGTAGGAGACAAACTATACTGGCGTCTGCATCAAACAGGTTACGAATGTTTATAATTTATTTAATTGCAAGTTTCGTGTTAAACATAGTAGATATATTTTTCTATTATAAATTTATCTTGGACAACATCAATTTAATAATGAGATAGGGATCGGACGCTCGTAGTAATCTAAAAGACTGCTCCATTTAACGGTTTCTTTACATTAACTTTATTAAAAGAGTAATATGGACGGAGCTAACTTAGTCGGACTCGCTTAGTGGACCGTAGATCTATATTGCATCCGCCGTCGGCTCCGAACCCGCTTCCAATAAGAAATCACGTTTGATCGAAGCGAACGGGCCGAAATACAGCCCTTTATCCCAATACCTTTATCTTCCGACGGCTACTAGCCAGCTCTTCCCAACGGATACGTTGACAGCACGGCCAGATGAATAAAACGAATGGGACGGAACGCTCAGCGATTGCCTGCGAATGTTCTGGACGAAAACATACAAAAAAAAACTTATGTTTTTGTTTCTCTGACGTTTTGCGACTACAAACACAAGTTTTTAATGCCAGTTACCAGACTCCCTAGAGCAAGTAACTCGTTCATGAGGCGGTGTTTACGCATTTACAACAAAATCCCAGTAAATGCGCAAAGCTTGAGGAAAATCTTTATAAAAAGGGTTCTTATCTTATAAATGAATACATAAGTGATAATAACCCCCGGGAATGGGTTGATTGCTCCCAAGTTATTTCTAAAAAAATATATAAATTTAACGGTGGTAGAGCCACGCCGCAGCCTCGGCTGTTGCACGAATGGGCAGGCTCGTCCGGGTAAGTACCACGACCTCACAGAAGACCGGCGTAAAGTGGAAGTATGACAAGTACTTTCGCGTATCATCCCCTATTCCAAAAAGGTTGTCAACGCATCTGCAAACCCTCGGGTGTAGCAGATGTCCATGGGCAGCGGTATTCATTTAACATCAGGTCAACCGTCTGATCGCATGGCACCTTTTCACATAAAAAAAATTCTCCGTTAAAGGAACCTTATTACGAAACGGTCGATTTAAAAAAAATACTATCGATAGATGAAATCTAAATCAAAATCAAATGTATTTATTCAACATAGGAGCATTACACTCACTTATTGATAGTCAAAACACTACCACCGGTTCGGAAAAGAAAGCCACTGTACTGAGAAGAACCGGCGAAAGAAACTCAGCGGGATGAAATGTATAATATATCTTATTTCGATGAATAAATGATTTGATTTGATTTGTCGGGTAAAATATAAAATAAGTACATATTTTAGTCCTATTGTGGTGAACAGTAAAAGTAACTGAAAATTTTAAAGAAATTCTTTTAAAGATTAGATCAGCGTTCACCTGACAGTATGTGATCACCGCTGCCCTATGCTGTCCGCGTCACCAGATGCGGTGCTTGCCTTAATATGCCTCCGTTGAACTCATCCACCGTACTTTGGAAAATGGTAGGGCAACAGCATTTCGAAAATTCTTTATACCAATGTTGCTACTGACACACTTTTTTATAGCTTTTTAATAGTTAAAAGATCATATAAAATAATCTTTTACAATGCCATAAAATTTGTCGTTTTGACTTACGCCGCAAAGTATAATGTATTCGCGCCAGTCTCCTCTGAAGACCTGCTACATTGGTCAACCATGGTTAATGTAACATCAGACGATGTCAGATCCTGAAACTGCTACACTAGTCAACCCTTCCGAACTTGAGCCTTGGTAGAATATCACTATAATGTAACATCAGACAGTGTTCTGTCAGATCCGTGACTTCGAGCTATCCAATATCCATCGTTTTCAGACGTCCCTTCCCTTTTTAAAGTTGAGACGATTCGGTTAAAGGGTGTCGGATCTCTCCCCGGAGGCCCATCGGCGAGACGCGTTCCCCCCCCGGTGCTCCCGGTAATTACCAGCCATTACGGACAAAGGACACGATTCGGCCGATTACCATAATTCCCATTCCCGGAGACGAGATATAAATGAGGCGCACTTCGTAGTGTTACTACAGCGGCGCGGTATTAATGGCTACGCTATTGCGATTCAACCAGGCGGGGAGGGAGAATATTCGGTGCTTCTATAGCGGTGTCGGTTATCCCGGTAGCTGCAAAAACTCCCGTGTTTTCCAAAGGGTAAATGCGTTACAATTAAAAACGAAGAAAATGCCAATCAATCACTGTTCACTTTCAACGCCCGCATTTTAGCTCGCGCTGTATTCGGTGATGGTGGAGAGGAGTTCACATATCAATATTTTTTTTTATTTATACGAGCGGCAGTCAGTATTGATAGGTGTGTCCCGTGTATTTTTTTTAGTTGTTTTGTAGTTGAACGATTATATGAAATTGGTTAAGCTCAAATGCTTCTTAGTTATGATTTTTGATCCAGGTGCTATTTGTGTTCGTAAATCGATTCTATATCGCAGAATTCTGTTGTCGCACGGTAGAGTCCATTCTTTTAAATGAGTGCAATGAAAAAAGAATCAGCGAGGATCCTAAATTCCTATTATTCTGATTTTGTATATTTCCAACATTATGTCTATTAAAGTTTACATTTCCCTTAATTGGTTTTGTTTTGTTTCGAAACGTAGAATATGGAACTGAAAAATTGTTTTGTTCTCCGCGCACGCTGTCCCCTGCTATCGCACTGATGCGAGCGCCCACCGCTCCGCAGCTCCCATTTTCACTCGAGAAACGTTAAAGCAAATTCATTAATCTCTAATTAGTCGAACGGGTCGCTTCAAAGGCGGGCTACGAAAGCAGCCGCGCGATATTGTGTACGACCCCTTCCCCCCCCCCCCCCTTTCTTTTCGCCGAGACCGCAAAGCGGGAGCGGAGGAAAAAAACACAACACAAAAACCCTTTCACAATTAATTGAGTTTTCTTGCGGTTACATTGGCCGCTACAATAAATTAATTAACGCTCGGAGGAGCCCTTAAAATTTTCCGGAGATCAAAAGTTGGCTCGCGACGCAGGGCGGAAGGTGAGATTGGTGCAAGGCTTAGGGCGGAGGGTACGATGCTTCGATTTTCCATTAGCTTATATTAGCGATGGGAGAGGCCGCGCCTCGGCTCGAGCGATAGCTCCCACTAATATATTTCCTTTATTAACCAGCGGCCTAAACACGCGATATTCGATCGGTTCTCGCGACGCGGTATTTGTTTAAGAGGCAGAGGCGGGCAACGTTTGGCCCTAATTGAATTTGAGGCCCCGATTTTCGTGGTCCAAATTAATTAATCGACCGACACGTAATTCATTACGGCGCTGAACACTTCGGTGTTTATATTAAAACGTGTTCTCTTAAGTTTAATTTTTAGCAGACGTACTATTACGCAGTCTTATATATCACGTGTTATAGCCGATTGTGAACGACGCATTTATATTACGCGGCCGTCAAGTCACAGAAGTGGTTTTGATTCTCAGGTGAAGCAAAATTATGTGTAATGTGTATGCTATTGTTATAATCTACCTTCTAGACTGTGTAATACGGCTTAAAGCTAGAGGTTTCAGACTTGAGATGTTTCTTTTTTTTTTATTTTCAAAAATTTTACGTAAGCCGACCCATAAATTAAACTAAATATAACTTTCTGTCTAAATACACGTGAGACTTTAAAAGCAGTACCACCTCGCCTCATCTGTTTTTATTTAACTTATCTTAATACACTTGCGAAGTTCGTAATGTGACGCTAAGAAAATTTTTAAGTCAGCCATTTAACGGCGATTAAAATTTTAACTGCCCCAGAAGTTGCCTCACGAAATTCGAAAATTAAAAGCCTTAGCTAACATCTTAGTGTGTTTTAAATTTTAAAGACACTTAAATACTCCTTAAGCGCTTTGACCTCGCTTTCTTGAATCCGCAGTAAGTAACTGACATTTTATTAGTATTTATTTATTTATATGATTCAAAAGAAAACGTTTTAAAATAGTCTAATTACTCAATGATCTAAATACTCGTATTTGTCATATGTTAGGTTTACACTACTAAGAAAAATAACCTATCACGATTATAATCTTTCAAAACTAATTGTTTATGATAATGATACCAAAGGAATTGGTAAACTAAATCAATGGAAACCAATAAAGGATAAAGAACTTATACAAAAAGAAGTTACTTATATCGACTAAGTAAAGCTCAAATCATAGAGAACGGTTTGGAATGAGCCAAGATAGTGTGTGTGTCAGTGTCTGCTCGCCTTTAATATACTCGAGCAACGTGAGTTCAATCCCCGTTTCTATCACCAATGAAATTATTTATTTTACGTGCTGAATTATCACGCACACAGCGGTTCAACCTGCATATTTTCAAAATAATAGCAAAAAAAAAAATATTTTGAAGATAAGTCCGCATTGTCCTTGTCTAGCATTGGGATATGTATTGGCTGTTACTTTACTTTTAAAGCACGAATCATTGAGAATGGTTTGAACCGGCACCACAACGATTTCACAAAAACCCTTTTTCGTTGTCACCAGGTTGTCTGCTCGAGGGATCGCGACCGCCGCCAGATGTGCCGCCGCGCAACCCCACCATGTCCCGTCTGAACGGCCGCATCACCGGCAACCCAGCCGACCTGGCCGACTTTGAGCCATCCTGTCTCGTGCGCACCCCTTCCGGCAACTTCTACGTGCCATCGGGTAAGAGATCACCAGCCCTCAAATATTGTTTTGTATACTACCGACAGTATCGTTGAGATGGTTAGCGTCCTAGCCCAGACTTATAAACTTATATTCGTTTTCGCTTTCGTATATGCTACATACGAGTAAGTAAAGAAATGCCGAGAGCAACATGCACATAAGTTGAGTAAAAAACGTTTTAAACAATTTCTTACTGGTTTTAATAAGTAAATATCAACTACGCGAAACAAAAACACTGTCCATTCCAAAAAAACAATTTTTGAACATCATTTTTTTAAATGCGTACCATAAACATGGTAAGAGTATAATTTCAAGAACACACGATGAATGAAATATTTAGTTTTCGCTTAATTATATTGAATCGAATAATTTTGAATCCAAAGTATATTTTTGAATGAAAGTAACTAGTATAAAGTTATTTTAAAATGCATCACTATTACAGGGGACATTCAAAAGAATCCGTCTATGGACTACAAATCGAATTCGTCGTGCAGTAGCCCCGGCAAACAAGAGAAGAGTACGTTAGAGAGAATGGATAGAGGCGACCGGCACCCGGCGTTCGGGGCCCCAGTGCCAGTTCTGCCAGTGAGAAATAATTTAAGGGCCTCACACTTCACTCCGGCCGCTTCGCGCTTCCATTTCAGGAAGGGCCTCTCGTCTAGATGCTCGTGGAAATGTACTGCCATAGTCTTTATAGTGCTATTCGTTTTACTTTTAGCAATTGCCTCTTATATGTCAGGTGAGTCTTGTAGTTTTTAACAACAATATTTCACCGTTCAACGTTTTTACTCTCGATTAACTGTTACATTTCCGTACTAATTTGTGTGTTTGTCGACAGCTTCCTATTTCGTCAACTGGTCATACCAGAACTCGAAAGCGTGTACAGTTCTAGTCGGGGAATCCACAGAGATGTTTCCGACATCGAAAGCGACAACATTAGAGTCAAACAATAAATCTCTTTCCAAACCGCAGCAAAGCTCAACATCAACCAGCTCAGGTAAAGAAGAATCTCTTGTGCGCCCTCGTAGAAGTGTAGATGGGCATGCTTCTTCTCTGTCTTCCATTTCTTCTGCGGATTCTTCCACTGCTGTAGAAATGCATGAGCTAATTCCTACTCTTTCTTTAAGCACTGTTAGCGTAGAGCTAGGTGATGTGACTTCTACCTTAAGCAGTGAAAATGTTACCGAAAACGAAGACCTTGGTTTTAATGCTTCGGTGTCTAGCAATGTTGGTATGTCTGTTAACAATGGTGTTCTAACAACTAATAACACTAAGCTTGATACTGCGCATAACAATGGAGATGCCGATAAATACACACTAAAAGCTCCCACCGAGTTAGTAACAAAAGTACATACAAGTTTAAAGAAATCAGAAAACCTCAGAAACAATAATAATATAACCATTGAACAACCTCCAGAAACAGAAAACACTGAAAAAAACTCGAAACTAGATATTGCATATGATCCTGACTTAATGCAGGGTGATTCATTTCCATCTATATATTCATATGGTGTTCAGAAACTTCAATACTTAAAATTACTAACAAGGTTGAATAAGGTCAGTGAAGAACTACATATATATTCAAATGAAACTGACAATGTGGAAGACAAGCCCGAAAAGTTCCATTATGACAGTGAACGCAGCTTTTCAACAACTGTTTTAACTACCGTTGCTCCAAAAATAATATCACCTGAATCCGAAGCAACTACAGCTTTACCTATAACAACTAAACCCTTACTCGATGAAACTGTTGTCCCAGTTACAGCAAATGTAATCAGTGCACATACCGAGCATGTTGTGTCAACACCAAATACGGTTGTTACTAATAACGTTTTAAATTTAACAACAACAGAATCGACAGTTGCACCAAAAGAACCTTTGACCGATAATATAGGTGCTGATTCCAAGACTCCAGAAATTATGTCTAATGCCAAACATGTTTTGATTAACCTAACCATTTCTGCTGACGATTCAGAAAATTCATCTTATAAACCTCTATATTCATTAGCAGTAACTGTTCCTACAATGGGTGACACAAACGAAGTACCAACAGTAAAAATCACACCATTGGATTTGGAACCTACGATGCCGACGAACTTTAACAAACCTGTCGTTATACAGAGTTCAACAAAAGCAAATAAAGATGTTAATCTAGACAGTAGTTCCGGCGGTAGTTGCGAATGCTCTTGTCCAGTATGCGATAGTAGTCCATCGGATGATTTCTATGAAGATTCTGATTCCGACAGAAGCACTACTGTTTCTTGGGAAAATACAGGATCGAGTACAGACCCAAGCCCTGAATATAATGCAAGTGAACATTCAAGTACACAAGATTCGTATGAAACACAAACTTTTGACATGAGCACTGAATCAACTACAGACTTGGGCACCGTTCATTCTTCTGTCGTTACTGACGTAACGAAGGCAACAGACTTTGCGGGAGAAACTACAGATATGACTAGTGAACCAGAAATAATATCAACGACCGAACTTCCGAAGTGTGTGTGTCCGAAAATTAAACCTCCACCCATCCTAATATTGGAAGGTGAGGTATTTATGTCTGAACTCGACCAACGATAACTTACTAATGAGCACCCGAAAACATTAAAGAATTAATCGAGAAATTTTTCCAACATATATATACCTAACCAACTAATCGCATGATGGGTGCGGATGTGACACTTGCGGGAAATTTCATTAATGCTTTTTTTTTTATTTGCATGTGTGCTATTTTAATTTATGTTTAAATCGTAGTAATCGTATTATCATTCGCGCATGACCGTTTCACCTCTATCAACAACTTTCATTTTCATATTTCATATATATAGTAGCATGTCTGAATTATTGTCATTATATCTGAGCGTGTCTTAATCTATTCTTCGTTTTATAGGTGCTCGAACTTTTCCTATGCAGTCGTTTCCCCCAGACGGAACTACATTCAAACAGATTACATTAGGTGAAAAATTGTCAAAACAAATCCCTCCATACAGTTACTGGAACATGCAATTCTATCAATCGGAAGCTTCCTATGTAAAATTCGACTATTTGATACCCCGTGGAGCGTCTATAGGTGTGTATGCCAGGAGGAATGCACTACCCACGCATACGCAGTACCATTTTTTGGAAGTCTTAAGTGGATTTAAGGCAAGAACAACTCGATCATCACACGTGAGTAATTTGACGAAAACCCTAATATAGCATAGAATATATAGGATATTTATCTTGTGTATATTTTTCTTCTATAGCCTTCTGTTAAGAAAGAAGTAACGCATTATATGGAGCAAGGTCATTGGTTTCTGTCGCTATACAATGATGACGGTGATCCTCAAGAAATTTCATTCATCGCCGTTGTTGCCGAGGACATGACCCACAATTGCCCTAACGGCTGCTCAGGGAAAGGCGAATGTCTTATGGGCCACTGCCAATGTCAGCCTGGCTTTGGGGGCGACGACTGCAGCGAAAGTAAGTATATAATGCAATAATGTATTCCTGCGCAATTTCAAAAAAGTTTTTGATTTTAATGTTTCTGTTTTCTTAGGTGTGTGTCCAGTGCTATGCAGCCAACGAGGTGAATACATTAACGGAGAGTGCCAATGCAATCCCGGATGGAAGGGGAAGGAATGCTCATTGCGGCACGATGAGTGCGAGGTACCAGACTGCAACGGCCACGGTCACTGTGTAAACGGAAAGTGTTCCTGCGTGAGAGGATACAAGGGGAAATTCTGCGAAGACGTCGACTGCCCCCACCCGACTTGCTCCGGCCACGGTTTCTGCATCGAAGGCGCTTGCGTGTGCAAGAAAGGATGGAAGGGTCTGGATTGCGCCACCATGGATAAAGATGCATTGCAGTGCCTGCCCGATTGCTCTGGTCATGGGACGTTCGACGTCGACACTCAAACCTGCACTTGCCACGCGCGATGGTCCGGTGATGACTGTTCAAAAGGTTAGGTGTTAAATGTTAAAAATCACTAAGTTTTAATATACAGGGTGATTTTATGGATGACGGACATATTAACAGAGCATATGCAGAATTTGATTCTAAGACTTTCTCATTTGTTTTTTTGTTTTTCGAAGGTTTGTTTTATTTTTTTCAAACATGAACACCCTATTAGAAATTCCTGCCTCCAATACAATAACTTAAGAGCACTAAAACTATTCGCTGAACGCATAATTACTAAACCGCTTATCAATAGGGTGACCATTCTTAACGGGATAAACAAACGATCTTTGAATTGATATTTTTCTAGTTATTGCTTGTCAAAATAAAATATTGATATTTTTTTTTTGAATTATGGAATGCTCAATTAACACTATGCCAATGTATGTACTTCGTCTAAAAAATCATCCTGTATACAAATTAAATCAGAAGCGTGTATGGATTGCCTGCTCTTTTATACTATTTTTATACGAAATCAAACCGTTAATTACTATTTTGTAGAGGTTTGCGATCTGGACTGCGGCCCCCATGGACGATGCGTCGGTGAGTCGTGCGTCTGCGATCAGGGATGGACTGGCGAGTACTGCACGTCCAAGCTGTGTGACGCCCGATGCAGCGACCACGGTCAATGCAAAAACGGCACTTGCCTCTGCGTGTCTGGGTGGAACGGCCGCCATTGCACTCTCGAGGGCTGCCCCAGGGGATGCGCGGGCCACGGCCAATGTAGGGTTGCCAACGACGGCCACTGGGAATGCAAGTGCTTCGACGGCTGGGACGGGCCGGACTGCACCACACTTAAAGAGCAGATATGCGACGATTCCAAGGACAACGACAAAGGTACGAAACGAGAAAGTTGTAATGTTTGTGCATATGTTATTATCGTATGAGATAGGGATATAATTATTGTAATGTGTTTTAAAAATGTTCGTACTCAATAACTAATTTTAACTACGCGAATATCATATATTTTAATTAAACTAATTCACAGCTTACACTAGATTTATAAAAACCGTTCACACTTGTGATTCAAGACGTACAACATCGTGATTAAAAGTCATTCACTCGTGCGGCTTTTATTCCGGATACTCAGGCTCTGTTTGTCGTAACCCAGATGGTCTAGTGGATTGCGAAGACCCAGAGTGCTGCCAGAGTCCTGCCTGCAAGGGCAGCCAGCTGTGCGTGTCCTCGCCCAAGCCAACGGACATCTTGCTCCGTAAACAGCCGCCCGCCATCACGGCTTCATTCTTCGAAAGAATGAAATTCCTCATCGACGAGGGTAGTCTGCAGAACTACGCTAAGCAGGAAACGTTCAACGAGAGGTGAGGATTTAGATGTTCGATGTTATATGTTTACTGGCAAAACTGAGGATCACTTGGCACGTGCAAATAGAGGGACCGGTCGATACAAGCGTCGTGTCAAGTGATTCTCAATCATGCTTCAAAACACAGTTATAACAGGAAATATCTATTATATAAGATACGCAATGTTGTGCCCCAGTCGATCCTAATGTTTTATTTATGAAAATGTTTCACCTTTTCTTTTCCTTACACTGTTGTTAATAATGATGGTTAATTTTATGTTTATTATTATGAGATTTATTGTGCAATCAGCGTCCCCTTCGGTGGGTTACTAAATTGGCACTTGCATGAACATGGATTTGTTTAACAGAAACTCAGCTAAGCACATCGCTGTTACTAAATATTTTTAATTTCCTTCTTCCTAATTAACAATAATGTATCTAATGGTACTCATTCTTTGTCATTTCCCGTCTTTCCGCTGCGCAGTATGTTTTGGAACCACTTCAACACGAGGTAAGATCTAGCGAGATTTGGGTAGGATTGTTTGTATTCATTGGAATATTACGAAATCACCTATTTTATAAAAAAATAAATTTTTATATATGTAACATATTGGCGATTATTTTATTATATGTATATGGTGTGTGCATGACTTTGTGTTCGTATTATATAGTTAGTTACCTACAATCGTGTCCTGTGAGTTTTGTGTTATGCTTTTTATTTAATAATATTTATAACGTTTTCACACACTAAGAGTATTTAGTATGTACGTAGAATACGTTTGAACACTTAACTATAATACATAAACCGTAGAAAAATACTTTTTAAACTTGAATTGCGTTAATCACATGGTCCATTTTAACGATATGGATCTCTCTGTAGACAAAACCTATTCCAACACATTCCAACACAATAAACAATTTAATAAAAAAGACCTGTAAAATAATCACCTTATTATAGAATGAACATTTGACCTTTCACAAGAATGAATAATTGACCTTGTCTAGAAGTCCCAAAAGCCCTTAAGTAATATTTAGTCAATGGAAATGCCTTACAGTATTTAAGTAACCCGAGCACAGATCTACTATGCAACACTTTCGATCACGCAAAATATTGAATCGTAAAGTAATCGGTCAGATATTGACAGTGACATGCGGTTGAAAACTTTCCAGTCGGTCAGCGGTAATCAGGGGTAGAGTAGTGACGTCACTGGGGTCAGGCCTCGTCGGCGTCAGAGTGTCGACCTCTACACCTCTGGAAGGCTTCACACTCACCCGCGAAGACGGCTGGTTCGATCTATTGGTGAACGGAGGCGGCGCAGTGACATTGCACTTCGGCAGGGCGCCTTTTAAAAGGTCCACACAAGTTGTCTTCGTGCCTTGGAATGAGGTTCGTTGCAGACACACTAATTATAATATTCATTTGTTATTCGTCGATTATAGATATATATTTGATAAATGTTTAATTAGAGATCGCATCGGAAAAAACCAATACAGATGAACAACGACTGCAAAAAAGTGATCTAGGCTCTCTGTTTACTTTCGTGATAATCCACAAAGAGTCAGGAGCTATAGACTAAGTAGATAAGCTCGAAAGCCACAAAACTGTTTAATACCTAAATATATTTCATTTTCCGAAAGACTGCCCGTTTCATTAGGGATTAACGTTGGAAAAATTAATAAAGCTCTCGAACACTTGCTTATCCAATCTCATAAGACCGTTGACGTTAATAACTCCGGCAACTTCCACATAAAGTTCGTACGAGGCAATTTAATCTTTTTTACCCCCGGCTGCCGAAACATGCGAGGCGGCTATCAAAGAGACATTAGGATTTTTCAACTCTCAATTCAACTTGAAACTTTGTGGAGTTGTCTGAGAGTCTTCGTAAGTTGACCTCATACAAAAGGTAATGACTTACGACAAGCGTCGTGGCTTCAACATCTGAGTTATATCTACTTCAAAACCCTTGACATTGAGTACAGACATCGTTTATATTTAAAACCAAGACTTTTATTCTATTGACTCGTTACATTAATAATTGAAAGTTATCGCATTGACTTCGTCATAAAACATTCAGTGGCATTTGATACGGTGCTGCATGCTGGTAAATGTCGTCGATGAAATTAATAGACTATTGGGTGCGTTATTCGTAACTAAATTTATTCAACTTCACGTCATAACGATCATATTTCAAAATAATAAATACGTTAACAGACGTCATAGAATTACGACATTTTCTGAAGTGTGACGTAAATAAGCAATGTTATAAACTATATATTTAATAGTGTTTCTACGAACAAATGTTTCGAGTCCCTTTATCGCACGCATAAAAGTAAAAAAAGTAAATAAAGTCTGTTGGTCCCACTGCTGGCATCCTCTGTGCAGAGAGTATTATGGCATAGTCCACTACTACGAATTGGCGGACTTCACATATCATGGAAATATTTTTTTTATGATTATTTCGCGGTATGCAGGTTTTTTTTATGTGAACAGGTGGCAAGTAAGCAGGCAGTTCACCTGGTGTTAAGTGATAACTGCGACCTATTGACATTTGCAACACCCATAGGGTTGCAGATGCCTTGCCCCTTTTATAAAAGTGGGCCCCGGCTACCTCACTTACCAGACGAAACACAGAAGTATAACAATTCCACTGCAAGTCGATCTTCTGTGCGGTTGTGATTCTTACACGGACGGACCTGCCCATTCATGGAACAGGGAAGACGTGGTCCTATAACAATATGTAGGTTTCCTCACGATGTTTTCCTTTACCGCTGAGCACATGATAAGTCAGCACAAACTAACGATTTAATTGATGCCACCACCGAAATTTAAAGTCACGTTCCTAGAATATTGAGTTTCTAGAGAGAAAGTTTCGCTCTCGTGCAAAAATTATACACAAAACGTTTCTAGATAATTTTTGTTCTAAATTCACGCAAAATCTACAGATAGAAGAATTCTAATCCTGAATCGTAATGATAGTGATGTATTTAATTCCACCTTCCAGGTTGTGATTATCGACGAAGTTGTGATGACAACTTCCGACGAGAAGAGCGGAATGGGGCCGCCCCAAGCTTGCCTAGCTCATGATTACGATGCCATGAAACCGGTGGTGTTGGCGACGTGGAAGCACGGTTTCCAGGGCGCCTGCCCGGATAAGAGTGCAATACTAGCCGAATCCCAGGTCGTACAAGAGAGCTTACAGATACCGGGCACTGGTTTGAACCTGGTCTACCACAGTTCCCGAGCGGCCGGATACCTGTCCACCATACAGTTGCAGCTGACGCCCGAGAAAGTCCCGCCGACCTTAGCCCTGATACATTTAAGAATCACAATCGAGGGGATACTTTTTGAGAAGACGTTTGAAGCCGACCCCGTGATAAAATTCACGTACCCCTGGAATAGACTTAACGTTTACAGACAGAGAGTGTACGGAGTGACAACGGCGCTGGTGAAGGTTGGCTATCAGTACACAGACTGCAAGGATATCATTTGGAACGTGCAGACGACAAAACTGAGTGGCCACGACATGAGCATATCGGATGTCGGCGGTTGGAATTTGGATATACACCACAGATACAACTTCCACGAAGGTAAGCTATATTATAAATATATTTTATACTCACCACAAAATTTTCTCAATTAAGTATTTTCTTAATATATTCCGTCGATTTTTTTCAAAACACTAAGAAAACATTGATTATTTTAAGTATTTTTTTAAAAACACCTGCTGTCGAAATTATTCAGAAAAGAAAGAAGGACATTGATGATTTTAGTCGTTTTGGATAATTTGTATATCGTTATATTTAACTACTCTAAAACATGATGGGACATACGGGATTCAGAACTTTTCGACAAGCTTAAGGTCGAAATCATAAAGATTATGTCAGATAAGTACATCATCAGTTGTTTTAGTATTATGACAATGAGAAATCGGTAAGAACAGGATTTTTGTTACTCAATATTATATATCTTACAAATAGTATGCACTTATTGTACAAAAGATTAAGGTTTTGAAAAAATATGATGTTATTCAAGTTATATTGAGGCCCCCTTTTCACTTAAAACCTTCGCACACCAGCCAATCATTTTTTCCCTGTAGCGATTAAATCAAACCGCGAAAAGGTGTCGAAACAAATGGTTAGATGGATAGATTGACTACTCAGTTGCCTACGGAGGTCGCCCCACTTCGCTACGCTTGCTTAACGGGCTGGACGCTTTCAGGCATTCTGCAAAAGGGCGACGGCACCAACATCTACCTGAAGCACAAGCCACGGCTCATCATCACGACCCTGGGCGATGGGAGACAGCGCGCGCTGGAGTGCGGCAACTCGTGCTCTGGACCAGCTTCTAGACAGCGCCTTCTGGCACCGGTTGCTCTCGCCGCGGCGCCAGATGGCGCCCTCTACGTCGGCGACTTCAACCTCGTGCGGAAGATCGCCACCGACGGCTCTGTTCGGACCATAGTCAAGCTCAAGTAAGCCGACCACCTTTTTACATCTTGGTAGACCAGCGTACGGTGCGGTTGTGGTGAGTACCGCCCGTGCACTTATGCAATTGGCCGGCTTTTGCCAATCAAGAGTGCCTCTCTTACCGGAGGAAACGCAGAAGTTTGATGCTGTCTTTTCGCCAGGATATATCGAAGGTTATGGTAGCTTCCCGTTTGCAGCAGCTGAAGGCTTCAACAAATTAGACCAATATGTTTAGACTAGCTTACGGTCGCGTTAAAAAATTGACGCGTCTAAATTTGGCCGTTGTGCATGTGAAGAGGGAACAATCGACCAGTGGCGAATTACTCGAGTATCCTGACAATTATAAGTGAAATCATTACGAATTTTCCAATTTAATTGGAGAGTAACAACGTTAAAACTTTCTAAATGTTTGAATTAATTAATATAATCATGAAATTTGTACTTTGACAATCGGACTGACGAACAAACTTTTCGTTTTCATTTCAGCGCCACACGAGTTTCGTACCGCTATCACATGGCTCTTTCGCCGCTGGACGGCACCCTGTACATCTCCGATCCGGAGTCGCATCAGATCATCAAAGTGCGCGACACGAGCGACTACAGCGACCCCCAACACAACTGGGAAACCGTCGTCGGATCTGGGGAGAGGTGTCTACCGGGCGACGAGGCCCACTGCGGCGACGGCGCATTGGCCAGGGACGCGAAGCTAGCGTACCCGAAAGGCGTGGCGGTCTCGAGCGACAACGTTCTGTACTTCGCGGACGGCACGAACATCCGTATGGTAGACAGGGACGGCATCATCACCACCGTCATCGGCAACCACATGCATAGGGCGCACTGGAAGCCGATACCGTGCGAAGGCACCTTGAGCGTGGAAGAGGTCCACTTACGGTGGCCGACCGAGCTCGCGATAAACCCCCTCGACAACAGCCTCCACATCATCGACGACCACATGATCCTGCAAATGGCTCCTGACGGCAGGGTGAAAGTGATAGCCGGCAGACCGCTCCACTGCCCCTCGCCTTTGACCGGGTACGACATGGAGCTCGCGACTTACGCCACCCTGGTGATGCCGCAGAGCATTGCGTTCGGAGCGGCCGGCGACCTCTACGTGGCGGAGAGCGACTCGCAGAGGATCAATCGGGTCAGGCTCATCACCACCGACGGAAAGATCACCCTTTATGCCGGCGCCGAGTCCAAATGCAACTGCCTGGAGCGCGGCTGCGACTGCTTCGAGGCGGACCACTTCCTCGCGTCCAATTCGAAGTTCAACACGATCTCAGCGGTGATCGTCAGCCCCGATGGCATCGTTCACATCGCTGATCAAGCTAACTACAGGATCCGCTCGGTGATGGCGAGCATTCCGGACGCGAGCGGGGCGCGCGAGTACGAAATCTACTCGCCGGACACGCAGGAGATTTACATCTTCAACCGGTTCGGTCAGCACGTGATGACCAAGAACATCCTGACCGGTGAGAACAACTACGTGTTCACTTACACGGTGAACACGAGTAACGGTAAACTGAGCACGGTCACGGACGCGGCGGGCAACAAAGTGTTCCTGCTGAGGGATTATTCGAGCCTCGTCAACTCTATAGAGAACACTAAAGGGCAGAAGTGCAGGCTCAAAATGTCCAGGATGAAGATGCTGCAGGAGTTGAGGACACCGGACAACTTCAACATGACGTTCGACTATCACGGCACCACCGGCCTGTTGAAAGCCAAGTACGACAGCACCGGGAGGAGCTATATATACAAGTACGACGAATTCGGACGGCTCACGTCGGCGGTGACACCGACCGGTAGAATCATAAACCTCACTTTCGATCTCAGCCTCAAAGGCGCCACCGTACTCGTTAGCGAGAACAACAGAAAGCCATTGTCGATTCTGATAAAGGGCTCCTCGGTCAACACTAAAGTGGGTGAGGCGGAGAAGAGAACAATTATTTCAACTGACGGCAGCATTTCATCTAGCTTGCCCTGGGGCCACGTCATTTCCACGGACACCGTTCCGTATACAATCTTGTCAGAAATCGATCCGATTCTCGGCGAGAGTTACCCAGTGCCAGCCAAGCAAAGAACAGAAGTCGGCGGTGATTTGGCGAACCGGTTCGAATGGCGGTATTTCTTACGGAGACTTCAATCCAACAAAGGAAAAGGAAACAAGGCGGTCGCTCAGATCGGTCGGAAATTGCGCGTCAACGGTGAAAATCTCCTTACACTGGAATACGATAGGGACAGCTCAACGGTGGCTGTGTTCATGGACGACAAAGTTGAGCTCCTCAACGTGACCTACGACAGAACGGCACGTCCCGTCAAATGGGGCCCCAGGAGCGGTATCTTCGCTGAGGTGGAACTTGATTACGACAGATTCAACAGACTCACTAGCTGGCGCTGGGGAGATCTCAATGAAACATACGGCTATGATAGAGCGGGCAGGCTGCACGAAATACGCTACGGCGATGGCTCCTCTCTAGCTTACTCGTTCAGAGACATGTTCACGAGTCTACCGCTGAAAGTGACCACGCCAAGGGGGAGCGATTATCTTCTGGACTACGACGATTCCGGGGCATTGCAGAATCTGACAACACCAAGAGGACACATCCACACGTTCGCTCTGATGACCTCTTTAGGATACTTCAAATACCAATACTTCTCGCCAATGAACCGGCATCCGTACGAAATTCTGTACAACGACGACGGTCACATCTTGGCGAAGATCTTCCCGCACCAGTCGGGCAAAATACTTTACGTGTACGACGGCACCGGCAAACTGGAAACGATACTGGCCGGGGCCTCTGCCATTCGCTACGTGTACCACGAAAACACGCACCTGGTGAAGAACGTGGAAATCACCGATCCCGACTACGAACTCAGGCAAGACTACAAATACCACGCCGGCATACTTAAAGACGAAAAGATGAAGTTCAACTCGAAGAGCGGCCTCAACAACGCTCATTTCAAATATCAGTACGACGGAAACGCTCGGCTGTCCATGATCGATGCAAACATTAACAGCAAAGAAATGCCGCAGCTGAAGCTGAAATACAACCAGAACCTTGGTATGCTGGAGGCGGTCAGCGATCTGAGAATTTACAGAAACACCTTCAACCGCTCCGTAATGCAGGACACGAGCAAGCAGTACTTCACCATCACCGACTACGACGACCACGGCAGGACCAAGAGCGTGCTGATGAACATAAAGTCCTTCGACGTGTTCCGCTTGGAGTTGGAATACGACGCGAGGAACCGAATCAGAACGAAGAAGATGATGATCGGCGACACCACGTCGAACGAACGGATCAGCTACAACTACGACGGGCACCTCATGGAGGTGGTCGGCTCCGAAGACGACTGGAAATACGTCTATGATGAAAACGGCAACATAATAGGTGTGATCGAGCACGGCGAGAAACGCTACCTGGGCTACGACATCGGTGATAGAGTCGTCCAGTACGGGGACTTAGAGTTCAGCAGCTACGACGGACGCGGATTCGTGATACGCCGCGGCGAGCAGAAGTACAGATACAATTCCCGGGGCCAGTTCGTCCACGCGTTCGAAAGGGACAAGTTCCAAATGTGGTACTACTACGACGACAGGAATCGTCTGGTGGCGTGGAAGGACGATAAGAACAACATAACCCAATTCTTCTACACCAACCCGCAAACGCCCAACTTGATCACGCACATGCACTACCCCAAGGCCGAGAAGACCGTCAGGTTCCTGTACGATCAGAGAGACTTCCTCACCTGTATTGAAACCGAAGAGCAAAGGTTCTATGTCGCCACCGATCACAACGGATCACCACTCGTCGTGTTCGATGTCAATGGAGAGATCGTGAAGGAGGTGAAACGCAGTCCGTTCGGGAAGATAGTCAAAGATACCAATCCAGGGTTCTACGTGCCCGTGGACTTCCATGGCGGTCTACTGGAGTACAACACCAACTTGGTCTATCTGGATAATAGACTGTACGACCCCGTTGTCGGTCAATGGATGACGCCGAGCTGGGAGCACCTCGCGACAAAGCTTAGCTTACCCACTGACATCTTCATTTACCGTTTCAACAACAACGATCCGATTAATAAGAATCAGAATGTCCCGTACATGACCAATCTGGCCAGCTGGCTCCAGCTCTTCGGCTACGACCTGAGCAAGATGATGGGATCCAAATACATCACCGACATGGTCTTCCAGCCCATGAGGTCTGTGACTGCACCGCAGTTGGCACCCGACTTCGGCGTGATGTCTGGCCTACAATGCATCATTGAAAAGGTGTGTATTATTATTATTTTTTTATGTGAAAAGTTGCCAAGCGAGCAGACGGTTCACCTGATGTTAAGTGAATAACGCCACCCATGGACATCTGAACAGCCGAGGGTTGCAGATGCGTTGTCAATCTTTTGAAAATTGGGCTAAGGCCACCTCACTCTCCAGACGAAAAGCGAAAGTATTATAGTTCTACTTTATGCCGGTCTTCTGTGAGGTCGTGGTACTTACCCGGACGAGCCTGCCGATTCGTGCAACAGCCGAGGCTGCTGCGTGGCCCTACCGCAATTTTCATCAGTTAATAATTTTCATCAGTTTCACATATTCGGCCAATTTAACGTGTCTATCTTTCGCCAGGTGAACGACAAGCTCTCCGACATAGACTTCGTGCCGACGCCGCTGCTCAAAATGGAGCCGATCACGAGGAACCTCCTGCCGAGGGTCTCGTACAAGCGGGGCGTGTTCGGCGAGGGCGTGTTGATATCGCGGGTGGACGGCAAGGCGTACATAAGCGTGGCCGACGGCGCGAACAGCGTGGTCGAGGACGTCATCACGACCGTCTTCAACAACTCCCACTTCCTCGACGTGCACTTCAGCATCCACGACCAGGACGTGTTCTACTTCGTCAAGGACAACTCCCTGAAGATCCGGGACGACATGGAGGAGTTGCGCAGGTTGTCCGGCAAGTTCAACGTGTCGCAAGACGAGACCAACGACCAGGGATCGGAGGTATGGATTGTTCATCTCTCTTTGTCTCTCTTTTGTTTTTACGCAAAATAATAATAATATAATTAAATAATATCTTGAAGACACTTTAACGCATTCATGGTTACGGTGTAGATGAGATATTTGAATATTATTAATCTGCAATCTTAAGAAGAAGCTTAATTTTGAATTTAATATTATACTTTCTCATGAATAAATTATTTATTATTCTTAAAAATTAAATGTGCAAAAATCAGCGTAACGACTTGATTATGCCTGTTTCATCTGCGTTTAAAATATTCCATTACATGATAATTTCTTATATTTACGGCATTACGCATTACTAAATGGAAATAATTTTCATGAACTTTCGGTGTACCATTTAATAAATTGGGCTCCGGCTACCTCACTCTGACTAAATAAAACACAAAAGTGCACTTCCATTGCACGCCGTTCTTCTAAGCGTGGAAATTACCCGGACGAAGCTGCCCATTCGTGCAACAGCGAAGACTGTCGCGTGTTGCCTATCCAAGTTGAGGGCACTGAGTTGACACTGCGATGACGTGCCACAGCAATAAAACGTTATATGGGCCTATTTAGTTAATCTAGCCTTACAACGCCTTATGTAAAATTTTGAACCAATTTATCATGTGTCATATCAGGTAAACTTTAATCTTATCTTCTCCATTCTCCTGTCCCTATCCCACACTAGGTGGAATCAGCACAACATGTCTCTTCCTTTTACTTTCCGCTATCAGCTGTCATTTCCATAATGACCCCATTCACAGACACATTCTTCGCACAGTCCATCCAAATCTTTCTCGGTCTTCCTCGGGCTTCGCACCCTCCGACTCTTCTAGTCACATGACTTTCATCCCTTCTCATTAATAATAGACCCCCTTCACAGACATATCATTCTTCGCACACTCCATCCAAATCTTTCTCGGTCTTCCTCGGGCTTCGCACCCTCCGACTCTTCTAGTCACATGACTTTCATCCCTTCTCATCAATAATAGACCCCCTTCACAGACATATCATTCTTCGCACACTCCATCCAAATCTTTCTCGGTCTTCCTCGGGCTTCGCACCCTCCGACTCTTCTAGTCACATGACTTTCATCCCTTCTCATCAATAATAGACCCCCTTCACAGACATATCATTCTTCGCACACTCCATCCAAATCTTTCTCGGTCTTCCTCGGGCTTCGCACCCTCCGACTCTTCTAGTCACATGACTTTCATCCCTTCTCATCAATAATAGACCCCCTTCACAGACATATCATTCTTCGCACAGTCCATCCGAATCTTTCTCGGTCTTCGTCCGCTGACGACGCTTCTCGTTAACGACACCGACCACGCTGCGCAGGTGCGGCTGCACGCGGTGGGCAAGGGCTCCGCGCAGGCGGTGATAGTGCTCCGCTACGGCGTGGACCCCGCCCAGGAGCGGGTGAAGCTGCTGAAGCACGCGCACAAGCGCGCGGCGGCGCGCGCGTGGGAGCGCGAGAAGGCGCTGGTGGCCGCCGGCTGGGAGGGCCGCGGCGCCTGGAGCGAGGAGGAGAAGGAGGAGCTCATCTCGCACGGCGTGGTGGACGGCTGGGCCGCGCGCGACGTGCACTCGCTGGCCAGGTACCCGCAGCTGGCCGACGACCCGGCCAACATCCTCTTCGTGCGCGACGCGCGCCGCAAGCGCCGGCGCAGCGGCCGCGCCCGCCACCGCTCGTGACTCGGCCCGCGCCAACCGCCCGTCTAGTTGTCGCGTTTCTAGCTGTCGCGCGGCCCACGAGTGGGGATGTCGAAGTGAAGTCGATATAGAAATTTTTATTCCATGTATCGATTTTAGCCAATGTATTCGGACTACATCGATATACGAATACAAAATATTAAATTTGGAAAATCGTATCAAAAACGTTTTTTTTTACAAATTCTAATCTTTTTTTTTCATGTCAAAAAGATAAATGTCGATATTTCCTATTCAATATATCGAGACCGATATTGAGATTTTCATAAATATCGTTGTATCGATATATTTCTTCACGTTCGACATCCCTACTTACGGGCGGCTACTATGCACGCTCTTGTGATTATCTCGTAGATTGCTAACGGTACCGTCTACGGGCGGTTACGAAGCGGGCATCTCGTAGATTCTTCGGACTGACGCGTCTCTAAATATAAGGGAATAGCTTAGGGTCGACTCGTGAGAGATTGTTCTTAGTGAGTTGCTTCGTCGAAGTAGAAACCTCGAGTTTATTTACGTACTTAGGCCGTCTTTATTTTCAATTATATACGCTTAACAATGAAATCTCGTGTAAAGGAATCTCAAGTAACTCACAGGGTAACGAGTCATAAACAGTTGCAAATTGATAAAGCGATAATAACTGAGCATAATATTATTAATGAAACCAAAATACTCAGATACGATCACAATTTACTAATGCATTTTTGATGTTTTAACATTTTTGATATTTTTTTTGTCCTATACACATTCGTCGCTTAGATTATTTCGTAGACATCATGTATTCCTAATGTATTTTAGCCAAATATTTCGTTCTATCCCTAAACCTAGATATTTGTAAATAGCATTTAATTGTGTAACTATCGTTTAGTAAAATTAAGCCTAAGTCCCTCTATTACTTCGCAATACTATTACTATTTAAGCAATAATTTTATACTTTATTGTACGACGGTCGCTATAAACTTAATTGACCCTAATTAAATACAAGCCCCCAATCGCTAATTATGGGAACATTCCTGATACAAAATCCATGTAAACTATGAACTAAAGCTTTTTTCGTTTTATTTGTACCACTTTTCAATATCAATAAGTTTTATATCATAATTGTTCTTCAAGTAAAACATTTCATTCCCGTTAGGGAGAACCCGAAACAATCGACGGATGCAAATGATATAAATTAATTTTTATTTATGTTATTTATAATAATATATATTAAACTATTTTAATAATTTATTACAATGTTAATACTACCAGCAATAAATTTGTTTGATACAAAGTTTTTATCAAAGATGAAATGTATTGATTACTGTCGCTTGCTGTTTTACAAAATTAAATAAAAGGTGCCTCTGGACACGTTTTGTTGATCTTGACTGAAGAATATTATTCCTTTAATGCAGTTTTATTTCACATTTGATTTTTGCAGTTTGGATTTTTCAAAAATACAAAAATAAAAAAAAATATCATTGAATAATGTTCTTTGGTTCAGGACTGCTATCTGAGCTTCAGAAACTGTATATCTACTTTTAATCTTCACAATGTCCTTCTAATAAAAATCTAAAAGTTAAATTAATAAAATGGAAAACGATAATACGTACACTCCGCATGTGTTGTGCAATAATTGAACCGTAGGTATTACAGTGATGTATTTAGGGTCACGCCTTCTTGCTGACTTATCTTAGACTGCATAATTTCTTAGAGACTGATGGTGAAATACTCTTTATTTTCTAGTAATTCTAATCTGTGGTCATTGCGTAAACTTTTCCATTTTAAATACCAATATTTCGCCCGTCAACGTAGTTTATGACGGGTCATTTCGTCTAGGATAACGAATCATAGCCTCGAAATAAGAAACTAGATGCTTCTCCATAAGATTGAATGTTGAATTGATTCAAACGTATCGATACCTCAATGCAGCTCATTCTCAAAACATTTGCTCCAGTTTACGACTTGATGTAGTTAAGACGCATTGACCTCAGCTAACGATAATGTTAAGATTTGTATCCTGCGAGCACTCTATCATTCGTAAGTCAGTAAGAAGCTAAAATAATGTAATTAATATAAATGTAGTTTTATAGTTTGTGTCCATAAATGTGTCTCGTTTAAATTGTGGTGTCTATTTCGTGTTAGAGGTACTAATCTAAATGCTAGTCGACTGAACGACTGGCTAGAGGGAGTCGATGATATTTTTTACGAAAAGATATTGAAATAAAACATAATAAGGGGGGGAAATATGTGAAACTATGGACACTCCCGGGTCCGCTTCGAAAGGCCCATGCGATGGTGATATTTTTGCAAAATGTGACTAAACAAAGCAATACATTGTAATGTAATACGTCTTATTTGTTTTTAATAACTATAAGGTGTATTTTTTATTTAAATTAATGATACAATTAATATATATATTATATTATCTATTGTGAATGTAGTTATTCGTTTCGCGGTGATATTTAGTAGAGCGTATCTTTTTTATGGTGTATAAAGAATTCTAATTTGTAAATAGGTACTTAAAATTGTATCGTGTAAAAATATTGTACATATCTGTACGCTTGGATTATTTATAAAGTAACGTTCGTAAGGTTTTAGATTATGGATTATATTGTAAAGACAGCGTTCGAACAACGACGGCTACTCGAGGCCGTAGATTGAGAAATTGTTCCCCGATCGATACAGTTGGCAACACTCACATCTAAATGTTTTAATGGCGACATTGAAAAGTTTTCCCGCTTCTAGGCCATTTCTCTGTATCTTTCGCGATGATTGCGTTAATATATTCCATTAGGGCGCAGAGCGGTTGCCAAAGCGACGGGTTGAACGGAGAGACGTACCATCGACAAACTTACCATAGACAATTTCAGCTTCTAGACATTTTAGAGCTTCGGAGCGCCATTTAACAACGTAGATCTGGACTTCTCGTGCTGAATCTAACACTTTTGATTTGTACTATTGTAGATACGATGTAGGTACCAGGATAATCTGTGTATAGATAGTCCGCATCCATACTCGGCCGGGTGTGAACTCCTAGTGAAAGGATGCGAGCGCGCCATATGAAAGACGATGTAAGCATGTACAATAATAAATATAGAAGGTATTCTAATGGAATATGTAATAAAAACATTAAAACATATGTGAGCTGTTTTATTTTGTCTCCCCCCCCCCCCCCCTATTATTAACACCAGTTTAAGCCAAAGCTGTCTGGTACGTGCTAATATACACGACATATGACACCGGTCTCACAGTTTGACAATCCTCTCCATCGGATGGTAACACTGCTCTGACAGATGTTGACATCAGTTTAACGTTTACCAGTGTTATATTGTGTCCAGCGTATATCTGTAATTGAAACAGTGTCCAGCACTCCTGTTCATGATATAGGACAGCGTAATTATTAGTCATAGCATTCCGTCGAGCACCGCTTTAATCGAGAGGACTATGGGGTTCGGTTCCCCGATACCAATACCTTCACTTGCGCGACCTCTAGATACTTATAGGCAACTTGTCTTGTAGGTCAAACCGGGATGGACCGCTAGTATGTTAAAGATGTTAGCATGTCACAGAGTGTAGCTTCGAGAATCAAACCAGCACGCAAATTGTAAAAATAATTTATTTGGAAATGTGCACGCACACAACTAGTGATATGTTTCGCAATACCCACCGCCAACAAAACACAGAGATTAAAACAATATATACAAAGTATTACATTTTATTACACTGTAACATCTAAAACATAAAAGTACCAATACATTAAGTCTAATGTCTTTAATCCATCAACAAGGGTGTAGGAACATGTCAATGATAATTTCTTGTATTTACGCACTAAATGGCACTATTTTTAAAAGATAAACCCGATATATCCGTCAAAATAGTTTCATTTAGTCAAAACTCCTCAACGCCGCTATAATATTATTTACATATCATACCATAAAATATCAAAAAATTATCATAACATTATTTACATATCATAAAATTGCTTCCAGGGAACTTAGCGCCTGTTCCGAACAATTTTGTAATTTGCACTTGCAGATTTACAATTTCCAATAATAAACAACCAGTGCTGTAAGAATCATTGTCTCAAACGAACCAGCAAATAAAGACTGTAGTATTTCAAATATTCCATACTGAATTTTTTTTTTAAACATACTGTACTATAATCTATTTATCAATATGAAATAAATTTGCTACTGTTAAATGTCACACTATGCCAGTCTTGGTAACAGACGTCCACTCTTACAAAGACTGGCAAGAATCTGAGAACTTTTTGATATCTGGTGAATGGCTCGCATAAACCTTGCCGCATTAAAAAAATAAGTGTTTGTGTGTGCACTTATGTAACACGTATGAAGTTATAATTCTGTAGCGTAACAAAATAAAAATAACTAAAATTTTTATCCCGTGTATAACGGTTATATATTTATAATACATTAAATGCAACTGATAACGATTCAATTAAACAACTTGGAATTATAGGCAAGTATATACTATATACATTTACCTATATAGTTATCGGTTGTCATGGTAACACCGTGAATTCGGTGTCGATTGTAAGTATCGCGCATCGTAATAATTGTTTGTAATATAATTTTTCCCAAACGCGCCAAAATAAGTATAACTTCTTAGTAGGTCTTAAATCTTATAATTAAATCTTAACTGACCATAATATGCATCCTAAAAAGAACACAAAATGACACATATGGTGCTAGCAATATAGAGTAAAAATATCTAAATCTGCCCAAACATTCATAGCCATTTCAAAAGTTCTAACAAAACACAGTTATTTGCCAACAACCTATTTCAAACGTAACAATCCCGAATATGTATAACTTATATCTTCTGTGGAATACATCTTTCTTGCTACACACAAAAGAGTGAATACTTATCACGTGCAAATTCAGTGCTTATGAAAGAAAAATGTCTATGACATCACAAATAGAATATTTATTCACCTAACAAAGCTCATATTATAACACCATTATAATACAGGGCCGGATTTAGGGGAGGAAAAACGGGTTTACAGCCCCGGAGCCTGCACAATAGATACTTAGGAAAAAAAAACTCAAATTCGGTAGCAAACACTAGTAAACATTTTTATTTTTAGATAATTCTTGTTTCCGATTATATTTATATGTTCGTTAAATATAAACAAAATCTATACCTACTTGGTTTCACATTAAATTATTCATTGAAAAAATTCTACTGCAAAAAATTGTTCATTTAATTTGGGCCAAGGGGCCTCAACTCCTTTGTTGCCCCGAGGCCGTCAGATCTCTAAATCTGGCCCTGATATTGTTCAAGTATGACAAATTTCAATTGCTAGCTACATTTTGCTATGTTAATTATTAGTATAGTCACTTCATATTAACAATATTGTTTCAACATAATGCGGCAAGTTACCGTCAATTTGTCATTGTTAACTTTTTTGTGATTTTCTGTGATTTTTGGTGACTTTATATAAATTGTTAAACTTAATTTGTAATAATTTACAATAGTAATCCACAATATAATATTTTAATTGATTTAGGGACCAATGTTAGTTGGATGAGTAGACATTTATAGGAAATATAATATACAATTTTTTATAACCGCAAGTAAAAAATATGTAAAAAAATATTGGGCCAATAGCTTACTACAGACTAGATCACATCTTTTATTATACACCTTGGCAATTTGTACTAGGAATTTGGTATTTGTATGTTCAGCACTGAATACTGCTTTCCTATGACTGTTGATTTTCTTCAAACTTTGTAAACAAACACCATAAATTTCTAATCTAAATCTATCCACTTCAAAACTTAAGAGAAAGTACACTTTACAATTATGGAATGGTCCTCTCTTCAAAACGCATTACAAATCTTGAGGTAAACAGTTTCCTATAGAAAAAAACTTTACTTTTCAACTCACTGCTTATTTCACCTTCATGTAATTTTGTACATATTAATAATATTATAAAAAAATTCAATAACCAAAAATTAAGCTTTTTCAACCATAAGTATGCTTTCACTAAACTTTCTTCCAGACTTGGACATTTGAGAATCTATTATTATGTAGACTATCCACTTAACGAATTGACGATATTTCAGTATATTCCTCAGTACTACCTGATGTCTTCCAAGGAACCAAGTTTATGAGATCTGAGTAGCTTATTTTAGCAAACATAATAAATAGACACTATGTTTTATAAGATTAATCACTAAATTAATTATTATGTCCAAGGCAGTTCATTTCATCATTGAAATTATTAACAGTTTATAATTTTATTAGAATTCATATTTATTTAGAATTAATGTTTTAAATTAAAGTGGGTTTATGTGTGATGAATATAAATATGTTAGTTTCAGTGGCTAACACAAATCGGTTTTCCACAGCGACGAACATTATGAAAGTGAATTTAAATTAATTCAATACTGTCTAGGGCTCAAGAATTCATCGATATTGTTTGACCAATGTTAGAGAGTTCAATTGCAACTTAACCAGTATTAAATCAGTTTTCTAGTCGACTGTCTTTAAGGCTGCTCTCCGCAAGATTTAATAGTAAAGTGCTAACCGAGAGCTGTGACTTTTCAGGGGTAGTCCTCTATGGGTCCGGTGACCCTTAGGAGGGTCTTGTCCCACTTTTCCATCGCAGCGGTGTTGACTTTTTCCACGTCCCAGCGCTGGGAAGGTGCGTCGCCGCATCGGTTGATGAACACCTTACTGCTGGGCTTGTCCCACTCCAGGCAATTATCGTTGCCACCATGCTTGAGCTGCTTAGTATCCTGTTAGAAACACTTATTAATAATATGACAAAATATTCAAGGTGATTTTATAGACAACGGACATATTAACAGAGCATATGCAGAATTTGATTCTAAATCTGAATCTGGTACGTACTAGTGACCTAATTTTTTTTCAAAGATTATGGACACCCTATTAGAAATTCATGCCTTACCGGCTCATTTCAATAACCTATTCACGAGCACTAAAACTGTTCGCTGCATGCATAATAACTAAACCGTTCAGTTCAATATCAATAGGGTGACCACTATTAACGGAAGTAACAAACAATGTTTGAATTGATATTTGTTTGGTTATTTCTTGTCAAAATAAAACATTAATATTTTTTTGTATTATGGAATGCTGTGATAGCTCAGTGTCCGGGCGCTCGCCTTTAATTCAATATATACTCGAGCAACCCGAGTTCGATCCCCGGTGCCGGCACCAATGAAGTTTTTAACTTTAAATGCTGATTTATCACGTGCTCCGCGGTGAAGGAAAACATCGTGAGGAAACCTGCATATTTACGAACATACATACGAAATAATAAAAAAAAATATTTTTCGAAAATATGTGAAGTCCGCCAATCCGCAGTGGGCCCGAGTGGTGGACTATGCCCTGATACCCTCTGTATAGAGGAGGCCTTTGCCCAGCAGTGGGACATGTATAGGCTGTTACTTTTACTTTTATGGAATGCTCAATTAACATTATGTCAAAGTATGTACTTTGTCTAAAAAATCATCCTGTACACCGGTAAACATTTCAAGACACATTTGCTACACAAATTCTTCTTGTACCAAACTTTGCTTAGTTTGGTACAAGAAGAATTTGTGTAGCACTTGTACTAAGTACAAGATATCTGATAAACATACTCAAAGATATTTTACTTTTATAAATAAACTCATAGAGCTATACCATATTTAAATTTTATAATTATTATCCTTATATATCTACATATTATTTTTGATAGGTTTTTTATCAGCCAGTACGGTGGTAGGGCCACGCAGCAGCCTCGGCGGTTGCACCTCACAGAAGACCGGCGTAAAGTGGAAGTATGACAAATACTTTCGCGTTTCGTCTGGTGAGTGAGGTAGCCGGAGCCCAATTTTCAAAAGGTTGTCAACGCATCTGCCCTCGGATGTAGCAGATGTCCGTGGGCGGCGGTATTCACTTAACATCAGGTGAACCTTTTGCTCGTTTGACAACTTTTCACATATAAAAAAAAGCTCGCCATAATCGATAATTTTTCATGAAATTTATTGGTTCAAAAAAAAATATCCATTTTAATGCATATGTTTGCCGCTATTGACGAACAGTAGACAACTAAAGTAAATTTAATGTTTTCATAAAAAGCTTTCTTTTAAAATGTCTTATAAATAATGTGTGATAATGCCATCTATTGAAAATTTATTTAAATCTAAGAAAACTAATTGGACAGTTCTTCAAAGTAAGATTTAATTGATAAGCTTTGATAAACGGTAGTGTGCGAGGAATTTCGCACGGGGAAGTTCGAACTAGTTTCTGCTTATTTTAAAAGAATATTTAAATGTTTCTTATATATTAGCTACTAAGTCGGTATTTTCATCCAGTAATGATTTCAGAGATTCACCACTTTTGGGATTTAGCGGGGAAGTTAAGCCTTCATCGTTAGTAAATCAAAATGCGTTGATGCCGTTATTGCGGGGTTCTCTCACCGGATGGTACCGCCAGAGCTGGTTGCCGCCGCCCAGGTGGCAGGAGTAGAGCACCACGGGCTTCCGAGGCCTGGAGTCGGGCACGTCCCAGCACATGTTCCTGTCCTTGGACCTGGAACCAGCGTTAAAAATTCATTTTGTTTAGTAACGGTTCTTTTGTGATAAGGTGGCAAATGCAGGCGGTTCACCCGATGTTAAGTGATAACCACCGCCCATGGACATTTGCAACTCCCGTAGAGTTGCAAATGCGTTACCACCTTTAAATTAAGTGGGCCCGGCCACCTCACTCACGACACGAAACGCAGAAGTGTAACACTTCTAATTTACGCCGGTCTTCTGTGAGATCGTGGCACTTACCCGGACGGGCCTGCCCACTCGTGCAACAGAGAACACTGTTGCGTGGCCCTACCACAGCAATATGTATAGGCTGTTGCTTTACTTTTACCATGGGACAGCTAGCTTTAGTACAAGGGGCAGTGCACCTGATGTCCTTGTGCCAAGAGAGCTGGAACTGCTGCTCGGTGGCGGCAGAGAGCTCGCAGGGGGTCAGCTTGAGCTGGTCGCCCTGCTCGCCGCGACGCATGTCCGCGCACAGCTGCGGGTATGGCTCAGGCCTTATCTGTTACAAACATATTATTTCTCAAAGGCATTTTTTATTTGTAGGATTAAATTATACAACTTCCACAGTTCTACGTCATATTTCATTATTCACAGACATGTAGAATAAAGTTAATGTTTTCATAAAGAAAACTTAATAGTACTATATTCGACCAATATTTTTGTTTGTTTATCAAAACCATTCTAATATTGATAAACAAAAATATTAGTAATAGCGCATAAAACAAACTTACCCTTCCCTCAGCAAAAGGCTCCGGCTCGACAGGGGGATACTTCGCAGTGAGGTCAAACGCTATCTGAAATATAGTTGGCGATAACATAAGATCGCAAAATAGTTAAGAAAGGAAATATTAGCGTATGTTTACATTTAATAGAAAGAAAAATCAAAATCCAATGTTTTCATTCTATTATTATAAACGTATATAATGTTTTTGAGTTTTCATTATGGTAATAAAAGTCTCTACCAACGCCGCTAACATACGGGAAACGCAATTTGAAAAAAAAAAAGACTGCAAAAGGTCGAGGCTTAGTAGAATCGACGGAAAGATTGGGTGGGGCCATAGAAAAGGCGGTGAAACCGCGGAGGCAAGCGCGCATCTGCGTTTTGGACCAGCATAAGGGCTACGAGCGGCCTCTAAGTTGGCGGGTCGTGTAGGGCCATAAAGTAGACGGGTCATGTAAGGCCGTAAAGTAGATGCATCATGTGGGGCCACAAAGTAGACGGGCCATGTGGAGCCATAAAGTAGATGCGTCATATGGGGCCACAAAGTAGACGCGTCATATGAGGCCACAAAGTCTTAAGTAGAAGTGTTATTTGGGGCCACAAATTAGACGGGTCATGTAGGGCCATAAAATAGACGCGTTATATGGGGCCACGAAGTAAACGGGTCATGTGGGGCCGTAAAGTAGTCGCGTCAAGTGGGGCCACGAAGTAGACGGCAAGTTGCCTCCGAGGCAAGCCGCACCTGCGTCATGAGCCAGCGGCAGGTACACGTGGGGCCGCAAAGTAGACGTGTTATATTATACGGGGCCACTGAGCACCTGCGTGATGAACCAGCGGAAGGGCCTGCAGCGCAGCCGTTCGCGCAGCGCGCGCTGCTCCGCCAGGTCGCCGGGGTCGATGGCGCGGTAGTGGGGCCGCCGCCGGTACAGGTGCTGCGCGTACCCGTCCATCCACACCTCGGCCACGCGGCGGTAGTTCTGCCGAGGCATACGGGCCGAGATATATTGAGAGAGACCAGGTCGCAAAGGAGGGAATTCAGTTGCACGAACGGGCAAGTCCGTCCGGGTAAGTGCCACGACTTCGCAGAAGGCCGGCGTGAACTAGATGTGTTATAGTTTTGCGTTTCATCTGGTGAGCGAGGTAGCCGGGATCCACTATATTGTGGTGGCAACGCATATGCATATGCGTTGCATTGCAAATGTCAATGGGCGGCGGTTGTCATTCGACATCAGGTGAACCGCCAACTCGCTTGCCACCTTCGCACAGGAAAAAGCAAATTAACGGATAAAATTCATGGATAACGACTCCTTGGCGTAGTTGCCGATATCGGCACGCTGGGAGTCTTAGATTCGATTCCAACACGAGATAACTATTTGTCTGAACCACAGATAATTGTTTTTCTGCAGGCTGTATACTGTTACAATCCCCTGGCAACACTACTTAATATACGAGCACTAACAATTATACTTAATAAATATTGAACCATATCTGGTATAATATTATGTAATAAACCATGCTTAATAATAATATATAATTTATTAGGTCAATCTTATTAACTGTATTTTTAATTTAATAAGTGCATTGATTTGTAATGTAGTTGTGATGACTCATTATATTTTTGTATAAAAGCGCATAATGTTTCAGTGATAGGGTAGAACACTCTTATACTTTGTATAGGACGTTACTCTGTCCTAATAAGTAGGAAGTAGTCTAATTAATACATAAAGTTGTTTACGCTATCCTCACGATTTTATTTTGGCCGACCAACCTACAGTCTTTAATAATACATAAATTCTTTAGCCTTCAATAGTGTACACTATGTTGGCGTTCATCAAATAAAATAAATAAATAAATATTAATAATCCGTACAGTACAGTTTTTAAAAACTGTCTAACACAATATTGTCTATGAGGTTCATGATCGTGCTTAGTGACATTCTGCGCGGGAGGCCTATGTTCAGCAGTGGACTCCAAAACAGGCAGAAATGATGACGATAATGATGAATGTCTATGTTTATTCGCCATACAAAAGCCAAATGAGTACGCACCCGGCCGACGAAATCGCCGTGCCCCGGGTTGGGGAAGGGCGCGAACTTGCGGTAGATGTGGCCCACGCGGGAGCAAGGCGCGTCCAGCATGCGACCACCGCACTGCCAGATCTGCCAACGGTTGCCAAACGCGCGTTAGCACGTATAGAATACGACGCCAAGCGACGCTCGATAGAGTAAATCACTCGTTCATGGGGCGGTGTATACGATTCTACTAGAAAATGCGCATTAAGCGCAGAGCTTGCCCATTAACAGGTTTAAGAAATTTATTAAAGAGAATCTTTATAAAATGGGTAATTATAATATAAATGAATACATTAATGACAATAACCCCTGCGAAAAGTTTTGTAATATTGTTTTTAAAAAAATTACAAAAATGAAGATAACTAAGGAGTTTCTTTCGCCTGTTTCTTCTCCGTTAGAGGAATCTCGTTACGAAACGGTGGTTGATTCAAAAGAATAGACTATAAATAGATGAAAAATGTATGTTATCCTATTTATTTATTTATTCTTTATTGAAACACCTTTAAAAAGGGGTTACAAAGGGCGGACTTAAATTCCTATGTCGATTAATAAATGATTTTTATTTTTAATTTTGACATTAAGCCCAGCAACATCTTCGCTGTTGCACAAATGGGCAGGCCCGTCCGGGTAAGTACCACGACCTCACAGAAGACCGGCGTGAGGTGGATGTGTTATTCTACTGCGTATCGTCTGTTGAGTGTGGTAGCCGGGGCCCAACGAGATGGCAACGCATCTGCAACCCAACGGGTGTTGCAAATGTCAATAGGCGGCGGATATCACTTAACATGGGGTGAACCGCCAACTCGCTAGCCATCTTCAAGCGTAAAAGAAATGACAAACGGTGAAAGGAAGCCGGCAACCTTGAAGCTGAGCTCGTACTGCTCCCCGCCCCAGATGTCCAGGCCGGGGTCGTAGCCGCCCAGCTCCCAGAAGAAATGCCGCGATATCGCGAATAGACCACCCGCCATTACTGGACTCCTGCCATTGAGCAGTCGGTAATCGATTATTACAACTATGCTCGAGACATTTAAACATCGTTTAGAAGGGTCGTGTTACTTATAGGTTATGCTATATTCTACAGATTTGGAGCTTTTTAGAAGGGAGTGGGGAAGAGGGGGTCTTATTGTTTATTATATATTAAACACTATTAGCTAATTTATTGTTGTATCGATAGTGTGGGATGGATCTTGAAAACATAACATAGATGCTAAAGACGACAACGTCATGTACGATACCAAATATAAACCACCACCACCCCTTTTTCTCTATACACTGCTAAAACAAGAGATTAATACCGCAGTCTAAAGTCGGCGTGTTATGCAAGACCAGGCCACCAGGACTGAGTATCGATCAAAATTGAATGCAATCCATGAAGATACTGAACCTACCGTGGTAGGCACACGCAACGGTGTTCACTGTTGCACGAATGGGCAGGTCCGTCCGGGTAAGTACCACGGCCTCACAGAAGACCGGCGTGAACTGCAAGTGTTACACTGCCACGTTTCGTCTGATGAGTGAGGTAGGCGAGGCCCACTGATTGTCGCAAATGTCGACGGGCGGCGGTCATCTTACACCGGGCGTGCCGCCGGCTCGCCGCGATCTTAAAAGGGCAAGACGAAGGGGCACCCACGGGAAGGGCTCCGGCATCCGGCGCTCGTCCTCCGGCAGGAGCGGCAGCCGCTTGTAGAAGAGCTCCCAGTCGAAGGCGCCGCGCGCGCCCTCGTCCTGGGCGCGGTACTCGAACGTGTCGAACGCCACCACGTCGATGAACGGGCACACGGCGGTGCGGTGGTCGAGCGCGATCGGCTCTGCGCAACGGGCCCGGCGCTCGGACAAAGCCGAAGGCGGAGACAAAGACAAAGACAAAGACGAAGTCAATGTCAAAGTCAAAGTCAAAGTCAATGCCAATGCCAATGCCAATGCCAATGCCAATGTCAATGTCAATGTCAATGTCAATGTCAACGTCAACGTCAACGTCAACGTCAACGTCAACGTCAAAGTCAATGCCAATGTCAATGTCAATGTCAATGTCAATGTCAATGTCAACGTCAATGTCAATGTCTATGGCAAAGTCCAAGTGGAAGTCATCTTGTATTGGCTGGTTTTTGCGCTTTCAGTCCCGAGACTATTAAAGCTTCGTCGAACGCAGAACCGGTGGGCTAGCCAGAACCCACGGGCTTGGGCCCTCCGCTGCGGGTAGGGCCGCGCATGTGCTCATGCGTGCGTTCGATTATGGTACGCGGTAATTGTTATGGCCAGTCAAAGTCAAAGTCGCAATTTCACTATTCAGTACGGCAGTTTAAACGTGAATGAGGTTACATTCGTTAACGAACCATTTGGCGTAGCGGATAGTGACCCCGTCTCTTGCGACAGTGGGTGTGGGATCGATCCTCACTACTGGGAAAATATTGTGTGATGCGCCTAGTGTTTGTCTAGTGCCCGAGTATTTATATCTCTTATTTATTTATTTACAAAATAAAAAAATGTTTATCAGTTACATTACTACCCATAGTACAAGCTTTGCTTAATTTTGGACTAAATAACGTTGACTAAGTAAGGTATTGCGGGTAGACCCTAAAACGTGAGACAATATACAAAAGACAAAGAGGGTAGAACAAATTATTGGGATACAACGAAATAATCACGTTATAGACATAGTCAGATGTAATCATAGACTTAAACTTACAAACAAACAATACTCACAACAATACAATATTGTAGTATTCAAGTATTACAATAAAGAAAAGCAAATAAAGGGACAATGAGAAATAACATAAATAATAATGAAAATAAAACAATAACACAATCTGTGCGACACAGATGCATTGAAATCCGTTTACGGCAACTGATAAAAACAGTGTGTCCAAACGTCGATCTTTAAGCATACGACCACTTTTTCAACAGAAATTTTTGGGGATAAAGATGACGTAATAGACCCTTTTCGGATGCAGAATACGCAATCCGTAATACTTTCTAATAATACAAGAAGAAATTGTATATTTCACGAACAAATTCATCTAATACTGACGAACTTCTAACGTTGCCGTTATTCTAGGTAATTTGTATACGTCTGTGTAATATGTATATATTTTATATAAAACTACATTATTTTTCACTACTTCTCACCGAAATCCAATAAACCTCCTTTTTCCATGGCAATGATATTATATACAAATAAGAGGTAGATATGACACTAGCGCACCAAAACTGAGGCACTCAAATTATGCAAATTATTGTAATTACATTGCAACTCTATAGACAACTCTATAGACTACGTGTCAGACGTTATATCATCTGTCACATTTTGACTTTTGATTTTGTCACAAGCGGAACGTACAATGTAAAATAATTTTTAGACGCCGCGCTTTCTGTACATGCTTGATCTTTATTAAAACATAATTGTACCTTGGTATATAACTTACGTACCCAACAGCGGTGGTAACCAGTTAACGTTGGCCTCTGTGTGCGAGTCCAGGAATACCAGGACGTCGGCCGTCGCTTTCCGGGCGCCGGCCAAGCGGGCGGCTATCAGGCCGCTCCTCTGGGCCAGCCTGAGCACTTTGACCTTGGGCAAATGCTTCTCCAGGTAGTCCTCCAATTTCTGCTTGAGGAACTCTGCAAGCAAAGGTTCGATCAAATCGGTTTGCACGCATCTGCCGGTTTTTGTGGTCTTTATCGAAACTGTGGTAGGGCAGAGCAACGGCTTTGACTGTTGCACGATTGGGCAGGTCCGTCCGGGTAAGTACCACGACCTCATAGTTATATATACTTCATCGTCTCGTCTGGGGAGCGAGGTAGTCCACTTTATTAAATAGTGGCAAGGCATCTAAGGGCATTGCAAATGTACATGGGCGGTGGTTACAACTTAACATCAGGTGAACCGCAAGCTCGGTTGCCACCTTCTCACATAACAAAAAAATAAATTTGATTTTCGCATGGGAAAAAGTAGTTAAGTAAAACACGGGTCTCCCGTGTTTTACTCAAAGTTATAAAGCTATCCCCATTTCAGATTTCAATTGCGAATTTTCGCACAAATTATGATAAATTCGTAAGAAGAGTCGATCTTCACTTTCTGCTGATAAAAAATGTTTCGGCTAGCCAGACAACCGACGTAACTTCGTAGAATTTATTTTAATAATAATAATAAAATATCTTTATTCACATAGACGCTTGCGCGTTCTTATGAAACGTCAAAATTTTACAAAGAAATTAAGACGTTCCTAAGTTACCACCTGTTCATAAGCAATATAATAGTACATTTATACTGTAGCGTTTCTTCTCACTGCATGAAGGTTGAAAACCTATTGCGGACGGTTAGAGGTGACAGTGGTTAGTTGGCATAAGGTGGGACTGCTCAATAAACGAACGATATTAGCAGTGAACTTTAAATTTCTTTGACCAAGATGCAGAAGAAGCATTTCTACCACTAACGCTCGGTTTCTGAAACTCTGATCATCGTAGAAGTCAACCAATCAGCTGTCAAATGGCTTTCAAATGTTATTTAAATTATCAGAATGATCTTAATGATCAGAATGATCAATTCAAAGAGTTTAACCATAATTTTGGCAACTCAAATGACATTTGACAGCTGATTAGTTAACATCTACGATGATCAGTGTTTCAGAAACCGGGCGTCAGTCTGCCATTGTGAACCACATTAGGTGGTAAATAATAAGCCTGTTCCTCACATTCGAACAATAACCATACAGAAATCCAACACGGCTCGTAATGCTGTAGTAAAGGTGAAGAAATATTATTAGGCATACGTATCGGTTCAAATAACAAACAGCGTAATAAAATATCTCGCACTTCGTTTTATATAAAACAAGTACTCAGATTGTTGACATGATATCGAATATTTTTCTATATGTATCATAGTAAATAAGAAGTATTTGTAACGATGTTTTGGTTTATAAACGTTACTGCAATATAGGCATATGTTACAATAATGCTGAACAAGATATTCTGACCTATTTATTGATAATTATTTAATTGTAATATCTGAATACGCGACAACGGAACTTATAACGAACCAATGCCCCATAATTTCCAATTACATTCGTTTAGTCAAGAAACGACCCAGAAAGACTTGGCAAACCACAAGTATCGTATAATGTAACTAATGATTTATAATTAAATTTTCCACACTTGAATGAAAACAAAAGAATGTAAATGCGGCGTGATGCAACGATATTTTTTATTTTTTTATATTACGAAGCTACTCATTACAAGATCAATATAAACCATTTACAGTTCTAATAATGAAAATAATTTAGCGCACATAACTAGATGATATCATATAAGATTATAGGGCACAATGTTGTTCGATAGAAATGTTTGGTACAGTAAACAATTTTCGTTAAGGTATAAATTATAACCTACAAAAAAAAAATAACACGGATTAGTACACCCACAACTTGTCAAAGTCGAAAACAACTACTCAAACTGTTAACTGTTCGAGATCATCAAATCAAACAAATCGACAACAACACAATAAGCGATCACACGTACCTTTGGTGCTGGCGTCGTCCACCAAGAACACCTCCTTTATCAGGAACTCGGGCGATCTGTTGAGGACGCTGTGCGCAGTCCGTAGCAGGGTGCTCCAGTGCTCGTTGTGGAAGGGGACCACTACGCTCACAGTCGGCAGGGACTCTATATACAGCCGCTCCCTGCACCCTTTGTGCCTTATGTCCGGCAGGGAACGGTTCAGGGGGATCCTGTCGCTGAGGGCGCCGTTGAAACCGTTCACCGAGTACAGCTGCTCCTCCAACTGGGCGTCGGACAGGGGAAGCTTCGCCGGTAGACCTTGCTCCCCGATGCCTGACAATAGACCAGTCTGAGGAACGGAGTGGCAGCCGCAACGTACAATCGGTGTTATACCTTGTTGCATTTCTGACTCGGTGACGCCGTTGCTAAGCTATTGCCTTCGGTCGCGGGTTCGATTCCCACACGGTACAGGTATTTGTGTGACCCACCGATACAGTGGCGGATTTGCCCTAAGACCCAATAGGGCCGGGCCTAGGGCGGTCACATATTAGGGACGGCCAATTGTGAGATAATTTCAATGATGATAACAAGATATAATTATGATGGGCGCTGAGAAAGGGGCGGGTGGAACTTATTACATGGGCTGGTGCCTAGGTCGGCCAAGACTACAAATCCGCCACTGCACAGATAATTGTTACGGAGCTAGGTGTCTGCTTCCCAATGAGGGTTGGCGTAGGCACGCTGCCGGTCGTAAAAAATATAGCCAATAACCGCTTAAAACATTATTAATACGTTGTGCCGCGACCCCACCTAGGTGGCATAAGGTCAGGACGATGATGACCTTTTGTATTTGTATTTTTATTTTGTGTGGAAGGTGTTGATCACTGCGACCCAGAAGACCTATTGTAGTGTTTTCTTTGAGAGCATTGCCCCCTTACTGTATACGTATGCCCCCTTACTCTTACTTTGTACGTAAGAAAGTTATACATACATAAATTTCACATTGACAAACACCCACATCCGAAACAATTGTCTGTGGGTCACACAAATACACTTCAGTTACACTTCTGCGTTTCGTCTGGTGAGTGAGGTAGCTAACTTAATTAAAAGATGGGAACGCATCTGCAACCACCGGTGGTGCACATGTTAATAGGCGGCGGTTATCAATTAACATCAGATGAACCACAAGGTCGTTTTCTACCTTCTCCCTTTAAAAAAATATACTATGGTTACATGATTGGTTAGTCATCCGTGATAGTTCAATGTCAGAGCGAGTTTGTTTTTAATTTAAAAAAATGATAATTTTACGTATTTATGACTTGACATGTGGTTATTTAGTCACCGTATGAGCCGGTCACTTTTCACTGAGAGTAGCTAAAACGAAGTAAAACATAAAATATGATATACACTCCATACGTGCATGCAAATTTTGAACCGCGTCAGCAATTCGCTTAGCGATTTATTTTAAAATTCGTGTATAATCTCTATATGAACAGGCACAGACTAAACAACTCAATTCTTCACTTGTTTTCCGCCAATCACCACCAACAGTGTTTGAACTGCTAGTTTTTTGTAAGCTATTGACGAGTTTTTAGTGACATAAATAAATGAACAATATGAATAATTATGGTCGAACTTCGACCAGCGGGCAACACTAGTTTAAACATAAACAAGTACTGTACAGTATCATAAATTAATCATTATTAATCTATGAATATGAGTATGACAAATATGACTGAAGAACTGGCATAAATTAACACACCGCACTTAACATGGGCTTATCGAACTTGCCATTAGAACTTTCATAGCAACAACTTACCCTCCCTTCTCCTTTCATAGTCGATTTGTTTATAGTTGTGCCAGTCGATTTTCTGAAACAATTAAAACAAGGGCCAAGTTGATTTGGTTTAATAGTATCAGCACATTTTAAATTATAACAAAAAAAAATACTTCGAAGATATGTAAGGTCCACCAAACCGCAATGGGGTCGCGTGCGACATTTATAGGCTATAACTTTACTTTTTTCTTTTTTTTTTTATAGAGGCCGACGTTGTAGATTGGCTGATAATTATCTATTGATACCAATCTCAGATATTTAAATAAGATAAGCGACTTCTATAACGAAATCATAGCACTTGATGATACCAAAGTACATTTTGAACTAAAACATGCAAGTACTAAAATACATACTGAATAATATAAAATATTCATAGTACCATCACACTGTGTATTTGATCACTTTCCTTATATAGCTTTGTATTTTGTCTATACAGATTATCCTGATAGTTGAAGTTAACCCAAGAACCACAAGAAGTTTATTGGAGGGTGATAATTCCTTTCCGGATTACACCAGCTTACGATTAGAAATAAAACAAGTGGCACAAGGTGGCGATTTTCACCACATAAAAAATACGCCATAAATTCTCCCCACAGACGTTTATAATAGAGGTGGTAGCTATGGCAAAACTCCGTTTAGTTTTGCTATAGCTACCACCTCTATTAAGACGGTTGGCAACCATCCATATATCAATATCAATAAACTAAAAAACAGTTCCCTCCTAATAATTTTTTGCAGAGCTAAGATCTTCATCTATGTTTGTAATAATAGACTATAAGGTGGGTGACTACTTGAACACTGGAAAGGGTTTGAAAAGTTGGGAATTTAGGTTTTTAAATTCCCAATTTTTTTATGTGATAAAATCCGTAAAACACTCTCATGTAAAAACAAGAAATAAATATGGCAAATCCTGCATAAAACTTTAGAACATATATATTATATTAATTTTTCAACATAAAAAGTGAATGATTTACCTTTCTGTTTCCTTATGTCATTTATTTTATGAGGAAAAATTCATTTAAATTGCTTACCTTAAGACTCCTCGGAACAAAATATTCTCTTTCAGGTTCTTTGTTCTTTGTGAGTGCTCCTTTCTCTGTGAGAGCATCATTTACTCGGTTTATATCACTAAATGTCTTCACTATATACAATATTATGACCAAAACAGTTATGGTAAGTAGGTTCCGTAGTCTAAGTAATCTAAGAAAGTGTCGCCTCATTACAATCATTTGGCTGTAAACGAAAACATAAAATATATAAATCATTATAGAGATATTTTTACATGCATATTTTACATTTGATAATGTGAATAAGTCCCAATAATTAATGAATAAAAATTCAAATAAATTTAATGATTGAAATGAAAAGTTAGTGTAAGTTCTTTCACTTGTACAGCAATAAAATTGTGGAATAGTCTGCCAGTCGATATGATTCCCCGTCGATTGATGTTTTTAAAGCGCGTGTATCTGAACACTATTTACTTATTCAGAACAGTGTGACTGATTGATTCTTTATTTTATTTGAATTTATATTTATTATGTATGCATAAATAGTAGGTATGTAATATATATATGGGTACATATATATATATATATATATATATATAGTGTAACAATAAATAGTATGTGTAATATAATATATACGTGCAAGTATGTTTATAAAATTGTAATTATATATATTTATGATGAAGTATATTTAGTTTTGCCATATTCTTTATGATAGACACTAAAAATTTTGTATGTCATTTTAGCGTTACTACCCGTAACTTGTACTCAACCACCAAAGGTTAGCTGGAAGAAAATGCTATTTAGCATTAAGTTCGCCTTTGTACAAACTTCTAGTACAATAAAGAATATACATACATACATACATAAGTGTAGTGATAATAAAATAATTTCTAGTAATACTTTTTTAACCTTTAAGCTGTAATATTCAATTTATATATTTGGCCTCACTCTGAGATGTTAAAAAGCACTTCAATACCATTAAATTCATTTAAGTTGAGTCACATTAACAAATTTTTGGTACTCATTTAAAAAATATAAACAGGCCAAAGTTTATAATATAATATTTATATAATTGTAAAAAATAAAAAACATAGTATATGTGACAATTTCTGCCCAATATACTTGCGCATGCATGAACTTATATTTTACTATAAAAGAAAATTTGAAAAAAATGTACAATAACATATTTCACATATTATATCTATTTTATAAAAGTTTCTACATGTTTTTAATATGTAATCAAAGTATATAAAATAATGCTAAAATGACAACAAAACAAAAAAAAAAGACTACATGGCGCCGTTTCTAGGCTAGGCTTTGGAGTTGGGGGTTGTGGGTTTGATTCCAATAAATGTTCCAGATCTGGATATTTGTTTCTCAAAGAGGGTTTACGTCAGATAAGCAGGTTGTAAAAACTTAGCCCAAACCGCTTACAAAATGTTGGAGGTTAGCACAACCTGAGTTAAGGGTAGGAGAATATCGATGTTGATGAAAAGAATGTTAAAATAGTTGAAACAATTTTCTGATAAGAGTAAAAATTTAAGTTCTTTACCTTACATGTGTTGATTAGCGAAAGATTAAATACTGCGAATGATTATTTTTTGTTATCTTGATTTATCGCATTAACAATTTTTAATTAATTAACATATTTGTATACTTAATCGTATAATTTACCTATGGATATAATAAGGCACTTATAGATACTTAAGTGTAATAAACTATAACTTTTAAAAGACCGAAAAAACTATAAAATTTCACAAAACAAGACCATTTTTTTAATTTAATAAGTAACAATAAAAGTTACAAATCAAAGTTATTGCTACAGTTCCATTTTTACTAATATTTTAAAGTAGTTTTATAATAGCAAAATGTTCAACAGAAAAATAATTAAGGTACAACAAAACACTGTATTATTTTATCTGACTTCTGAATTCTATTTTTGATAACGTTAATCTGTCACTTTTTTATTTGTTGTTACCGATCAAAATATAAAGTCAGTGTTACTATAAACATTTATGCGCTTTAACCCAACAGATTCTACATAAACACATAAAAATATTTTAAAATTATTTAAACCATATTTCAAAGACGGATCCATCAGTATTAAAAAAGTTTATTGTTCTACTTAGTGTTTGAAATACGTTAAGCTAGTTTAGCATTTAACAACGAAAATATTTTTTTGAAGTAACAGTGTGTTTGAAATACGTTGTTAATAGTTGTGAAGCCTGGCCCGGGACTGTGAGTGTGACACTGACAGCACGCTGGAAGAGAGAGAGAGAGCTTTGAGGGTCCCTCAAATATAGATTCAAATCTCAGCTTGAACGACAGTCAATAATGATATAACATATAATAATTCTTACATATAAATTAATTAATTATTTTCTATTCGCATTATATGATAATACATAATATTAAATATTACATATTATCATATAATTAAATTATTATATTATCATTATCATAATTATTCAGTGAGGAAATGCAGCTAGAAATTATATAGATTATTAGAATAAAAAAAATAGTCATTTCTATAACTGTTTTGTGAAGCATAAAGAGTATTACTTAATTTTTTACATTTACATGTTAAAATGTTTACATAAACATTATAATTTATGAATAGGTGAATATTTTTTTATTTTTATAAGATATCTATAACATGTTAACTACGTTCACAGAAAAAAGTTTAAAATAATCAATAGTTTAATCAAGTTCCATTTTTAATTTTATGATCGTATAGTGAACGCTGCCGTACACCACGTTTGTTAATTTGTTATCCTGACAACCGGTGACAACTGTTTGTTCTTGATTGGTTAGTTGGAAAATAGAAACCAATAAGAATTTGCCACAGATTATATGTAAAACTTCATAATTCACATACGAAGCATATTTCCTTTCGTTCACCGCTATTACTGTGGAATGGATTTTCACTCATTTCAGTTTTCGCTTGTCACTCTCTTGATTGATTCAACTCTTTAACGTTTCAGACACAACAAAATAGATTTATGAATACTTAAAAGTTTTAGTATAAATTGAAACAGAGCACGGTAAGGGTAATATGAATTAAGTACTGGCATTTTGTTTATTATTATTGAGGATATCCGTTATCCGGTAATTCTGAATCTCATCCGCATTTCGTTTACATCTACGGTTTTTATTCTAGCGGTGTTTTGTTTTAATTAAATTAAAGAATATACGTGAGAAATAAGACTCATCCATTTTCCATTCTATGTTTAGACTGTGTTATTTTTTCAGATGGCTCTATTTAATAAAATATTGTATTTTTGCGGCCTGTTGCTGTTTGCGACTGGGCTCGTGAGGGCCGAAAACGATGATGATGGTGTCACTGTAGAGGTTAGTAGCGGCATACCCATGACCTAATTAACTTTAACACTGCAATTTTAATGTTATTCTATTAACATTGCCAAGAATATTTCACTACCATTACAAATAGGCATTGACCAATTCTTATTTTCTTTTAAGAAATTTGATTAGACTATTCTCATATATATATATTTTAGTAACACTTACCTTTATCTAATGTAATGTAAAAAGAATTGTAAAATATACAATGTATAACATTAAGAATTACTAATAAAGTATGTTTTATTAGCATAAATTAAATGCTTTTTTAATTGAATATTTTAAAGAGATTGATATGAATTTTGTATTAAATGTAATTATATTTGAATGTGACATGACCTGTATTGATAATTGCCTTGTTCCTATTTAGCTATCTAACTATGGCAATCAGATAAGAGTACTACATACAACTATGAAACACTATCTTTGTGCTTTTTATCTATTCATTTTATTTTTTGCCTGCATGCAAGCTGTATTTTGTAAAAATGTTTGCCCTGTTCATGTCTTTGTAATTATATTTGTTGCCATCAAATTTATAAATTTATAGCCACATTTTAAAATACTCATGCTTTTCTTTATATATAAATAACTAATTAGTAACAGAAAAAAATAGTATGCTCTTTTATATCTCATTTATTAAATAAATCTAATGCCAAGACTAATATTTCATGTAGTTGTGCTTGTCTGTATAGTACAAATGCTTTCAGACCTAGGGAATACATTGATTGTAGAGATGCGTTAAAAACAATATAAAATTGATTTTGTAAGGCCCCCAAGCCATTTGAATCATATATTTACATGATTCAAATGGCTTGTAATATAAGAATTTTCTCATGTTATCATTATGTTAGTTAATTCCTAAAAACCCATTTATGTAAATGTCTATTTTTTTTGTGAAGAGAAATTCTGATGATCAGCAGATGATTAGTGCAGCAACTTATATATGTCATATAATAGTTTGCAGGAAGACCATTTTACCACTAATATTCTCAAAGAAACTCAATATGCACTGCTTATACTATCTCATTAAGCAATTAAAGCAAGTAGTACATTGTAGAGATTCTTTACAACCGGCAAGTTAATTGTATAATGTCTTTAGTTTTGTTGTATTATACAGGTCATGCATATTTGTGCTTTTCACATATGTATAAAATGTATGCTTGTTCTTAACTGTAGTGATAATAGTATGTTTGGAGATATTTTAGGTGTTTGATAAAATTTTTGCCAGATTCTAATTTACATATTGTAGCTACACACATTTTGCACAAATTAGAGGTTCTTCCGAAAAATATTTTCTGCTCTCTTCTGCCACCTGGGTTGGCATGTGAATTATGTAGCCTGCCTGATGTCAACCCTCCTCGGGAACAAAGACTCAGACTAACAATTATCTGTGGGTCACACAAATTGTGAAATCATGATGATGTGGGTCACAAAAACACTAGTCCCATGTGGAATCGAACCTACGACCACCGGTGCCGAAGGCAATGCTTTAGCAACAGTACTTCCTAGTAATTTTCAAATTGAATGCGCACTCCTATAATTTTTAACCAGCTTGTAATGTTACTTAAGTGTTATGTTGTCTTACTGCGAAGTATAGCATCTGTTATATTTTTTCTTTCATTTACGACATTCATCTCTTTCTAGACCATCGAAGAAGAACAGTACCACAGTCCACAGATAAATTCCAAAAGCATTTATTTCGCCGAGCACTTTGATGATGAGGCTGCATTCAAGAAGAAGTGGGTGAAGTCTGAAGCCAAGAAACAGGGCGTTGACGAGGCCATCGCCAAGTATGATGGCAAATGGGAGGTCCGTGTCTGCTATTTTATAATTTATTTACGATAACATTTTACTGCAGACTACAAACATACTTCATAGAAGGTTAACACCTGTAAATGGTCACAATTATTGGTTCAATTTAGCCTTGTAAGCTTATGAACTATAAAATTGACCACAGCATTATTAGCTCATTTGTCCTAAAATCAGCTAGAAACTGTGCGGTGTTATTTCTATATATCATGCTTTATTTAAAATGTTAAACCAGCACTTGCACCTCGCGACTGTCTTGTGTGAAGTTGTGGTACCCACTCGGACGGACCCGCCCATTCGTGCAACAGGGGATACTGTTGCACAGATCTATCACAGTAAAAGAAACATTAATGTAATTCGCGTGCAATTAGCGAAGTCGAGTTGCGTGGCCCTACCACAGCAATTAAAAATTATATGGGCATATTTAATTAATCTGTTCTTACAACGGCTTATGGATATTTTTAAACCAATTCATAATGATACATTGTGCGTCGCACCAGTTAAATATTACTCTTGTATTTGTTTCAGATCCAAGCACCCTCCAGGCGAATTCTCAAAAACGACCTCGGCTTGGTGTTAACCACTGAAGCCAAACACGCTGCCATCTCGGCTCTCCTGGACAAGCCCTTCGAGTTCAAGGATAAGCCTCTCGTTGTCCAATATGAAGTCACCATGCAGGTACTGTTATCCTCATCATCGTCGTCACCATCATCATCATTCCAGCATGTTCGAGTCCACCGCTGGCCATAGGCCCATGGGGGACCACAGACTATCACGAAGCCCGATCCCGAGCCACCTGCATCCATTGACTTCCCGCACACTAGCACAGGTCGCCACTCCATCTAGCGGAGAGAGGACCAACGTCAGTTACATAGTCATTGGCTGAACATTGTGACGCTATACATAAGTTTGTAGCGCTGTGTCTTGACTTACGGCCGGTTTATATGTTTATATTCTGTCTACGGATCAATTCGATCGATCGGATATTTAGACATGCACTGAACTAGGCCGTGTAGAAAAATGTTTAGTTTCGTTTAGTTTTACTCACGTGGCATATGCTTTTACCACGCTCCAATTAACAGAATTGTTTTTATTTAGTTACAATAATACAAACGCAACGTTCCAACTCGATAGTCAAGCGACGATAATCGTCAAAACGCCGAATCAAAATGAGCACTGCTAGGCAGCACATTCTCGAATGTTGCGTGTCCATCGAGAATTATCTATTTCGTTTTTTTTTTTAAATCATTGCCTCTACTGTATGATACCATTGCATTGAGTTGTATGTATTTCTTTTTTATATATTATCTTTTAAGTCAATGCCCCTACTATATGATACTGTACTGGGTTGTAAGAGCGTTTTGCAACAATAAAATACACGCAGATCCGCTACAATTATCTTCGGGTAAAATAACCGTTTTTCCCCGGCGCCGAATCCAATACCTTAGCATTTGGCAATTGCGCCACGGAGTCGTACACAATCCACGCGTACACCCCTAACCGGCTTAACGGATTGGCGGCAAAACTCGGACCTCGGTTTTGCCGCCAATGTGGACGATGCGTCATTTTTTATTGGATTTCGCACTCGCGTGGGACGCGCCGTCTTCGGCTCGACCCTTTAATCTGAGCAACGTACTAATGAGCGTCTAGAACATTCGCAATAAGTCTCCTTGCATTCGTCTAGTCGCTTCGATGAATTTTAGGCATTTCATCGATATGTGGCGCATTAAATGGGACTAGTCGAAGGCACCGGGACTATTATAAAATAATATACTAATTCTACTAAATAAACTAAACATGAGGGAGGTTTCATGTACTTGAGGGGGACCAAAAAAGGCGATGTGCGGTGTCCTTAGTAATTTTTTAATGTCAAAGTTTCACTTTAATCAGATTCGGTCTTATCCATCAGAAAAGAAAATAGAACCAAAACCTGTGGAAGGGCCACGCAACTTCGTGCCACTTTTCGCATAAAAATAACCATTTTGGGGTTGAAATGTGCATTTTTCTCATGTCGCGTGAATAGAACGTTAGTGAACTTGTATATTTTCACCCACCGCGGGCATTGCAAACACATCGTGTTCATGAAAGACGATGAAACAACCGGCTTAAGCTGGACGCACGCCAAACCCGACGCCAGTTTTCTTTGTGTTTATCGCGTGTGCCTTTGAACCGAACACAAGTTCAACGTATACTATGACGCGTGCCATTGAGACGCCAAAAGAACGTGGCTTTTACGCCAGTGGCGTAATTATAGAAAGCCCTGGAAGGTTCCCCGTCTTAATAAAATTTCATAAAAGAACATTAGATAACTGTGGCTGTTGCACGAATGGGCAGGTCCGTCCGGGTAAGTACCACGGCCTCACAGAATATCACAGATTATACTTCTGTGTTTATTCTGGTGAGTGAGCCGGGGCCTGCTTAATTAAAAAGTACTTCAAATGGTTATTTATTTAAAAAAAAAAACTAGGCCATGACTTATATACATCGCCACTGGCCACAAACAGCATAATTAAGAAATATGACACGGCTTTACACACGATCTGTATCTAACGTTTTTAAATAGTCCTTACGACGTCATTAAACGATCCATCGTCGTGAAATTTACCTAAACTGAAACGGGCTTACTGTAATAATTTGTTTAACTTTCTGTGACCTCGACAATATCTTCTGTATCGGTTAGCCTTTCTCGGTACCATTGATGTTTTCATTACATAAGAAAATTAACTTACGATGCAACATATTAAGCATAGTATGCTATTTTATAAGAATGCCACCCTAAAATCATAAACGCTATAGATAATTTAAAATTGTTTATTTAATTCAATACACCAGGTTTTAAATTCGTTTTACGGATTTATCCCCTTTAAGTGTAAGATTAAATTATCGCCGTTAACTCGAGAAATCCGAGTTCGAATCTCGATTCTTTCTCTGAACTGTGTGCCAGTTTGCTACAGTTGTTGTAGTGAACAATCTCATCGTCTTCGAAATAAATAAAGTAAAATAACAGCCTATGTATGTCCCACTGTGGGACAAAGGCAATCCTCTGAATGATACATACAGGGTGGCTTTTCTAAGTGTATCTATTGTTTTATTATTAAATTCTAGACATAAATAATGTTATATAAAAAAAAATGATAAATATTTAAAATCACTCCTAAGTAATTAATTACATTCATTTGAGCTTATCTCAAAAAGTGCGCGATTTATACGCATCTCGTTTATTTTATCATATCGCGCGATCATTCATAACTAACACGCACACAAGTTCGTGCACAGTAAAATTTAGGTATTTATGAATGACTTCCGCATTGTCAACACGTTCTGTTTTTTAAGGAATAGAATGGCATTTTTTTTAAAAGTAGTTTTGTTTATTTCACTAAACGATTATACTACCGAGTCTGAACCTCCTGTGTAAATTTGGGCACTTCTCAAAAAATCTCCCTGTATATTATTTTTTTAAGTATCGAAAAATATATATGTACACAGTTCATAGGTATATGAAGTCCGCCAATCCGCATTGGGGTCGCGTGGTGCACTATGCCGTAATACTCAGTGCACAGAGGCTTTTTCCCCAGCGCTGGGACATACATAGGCTGTTACTTTACCCAATTCGTGGCTACGATTATAAGCTCAGTATAACGTCGCCGCTATTGTCTATCTCCCTCTAACTTGGAAATGCATGTGTGTGCGGTAATACCGGGAACTGGTCTGAGCGCACATTTAAAAATACACACTGGCAGTAAATGTGGGCGCGAAACCAGTAGACGCAGGCTCGAATCGAGCAGCGCCGAAAGTTTTTGTTCATTTGTCTGCAATAAATTACAAAATATAGATATGTCATTCGCCGTCTATTTCCCAGGAGGGCCAGAACTGCGGCGGCGCGTACATCAAACTGCTATCGCGTGGCACCAACACGAAGGCCGACCTTCGACAGTTCCACGACCAGACGGCGTACACCATCATGTTTGGACCGGACAAGTGTGGCAACGACAACAAGCTGCACTTCATCTTCCGCCACCGGAACCCAGTCAACGGCACCGTCGAGGAGAAGCACAGCAAGAAGCCGAAGTAAGTCGACTGAAGACAGAAGACAGAAGTACAAACAGCCACTGTGACCTAGAAAGATCTATTGTAGTCTTCCATCAACATCTTGCCTTAACATTGTACTTGCCTTAACATTATCCTTTAAAAAACCGTAAAATACTGTCATTTAACAATGTATGATATAAGCGTAAAAGCAAAAAATCAATATGTTGATATCGGTAAGTATCTCGCCACACCAAAACATCCCACTTGTGTACTTCAAATCCAATTCAAATTAAAAATATCTTTATTCACATAGAGGCTTGCGCGCGTTCTAAGGAAACGTCAAATGATAACGCAAAAATTAATACGTTCGTAAGTAAGTTACCACCGGCCCATATAATAGTAGCCGAATTGACCGAATAGCGAGTAATAGCCGAATGAACGAGTGAATGAATGATAACGCTTCCACAGCCAGCGGCTGGACGACATCTACAAGGACAAGGAGCCCCACCTGTACACGCTGGTGGTGCGTCCCGACAACACGTTCAGCGTGCTGGTGGACAACCGCGAGGTGAACGGCGGCTCGCTGCTCGAGGACTTCGCCCCACCGGTCAACCCGCCCGAGGAGATCGACGACCCGGACGACAGGAAACCCGACGATTGGGACGAGAGGGAGAAGGTATGAGCGAATTCCCTGCACCCTTTTCACGGTGGTAGGGCCACGCAGCAGCCTCGGCTGTTGCACGAATGGGCAGGCTCGTCCGGGTAATTACCACATTACTTAGATATTTAAATGACTTCGAATCAAAATGGTTTATTTATGTTATTTAATTTATCTAACGCGCCAAAATAAGTTCTCACTTCTGTCGGCACTCCCGGAGTGCAACCCGTATTTTTTTTATTTTTTATGTGAAAAGGTGGCAAACAAGCTGGCGGTTCACCTGATATTGAGTGATTACCACCGCCCGTTGACATTTGCAACACTCATAGGATAGCGTATGCTTTGCCACCTTTTGATGACTCCGTGGCGCATTTGCCAAGGTATTGGCTTCAGCGTCGGGGGTCGTGGGTTCGATTCCCACACGGGACAACTATTTGTGTGACCCACAGATAGTTGTTTTGCATCTGGGTGTTGTTGCGTGAAATTTATGTTTGTAAAACGTCCTTACAACACAGGATAATGTTATCCTAAAGTAAGGGCAATGTTTTTAAAAAAAAAAAAAACAAATACACCGTGGACCCCGGCTAAATCACTCACCAGACGAAAAGCAAAATATAACACTTCCACTTTACGCCGGTCTTCTGTAAGGTAGTAGTACTTTCCCGGACGGACCTGCCCATTCGTGTAACAGCCAAGCTTCTGTTTGATAGAAACCCTCCTTGTCAAAAAACACAAAGACTAAATTTGCTAACAGGCACAGTATTAATCGAAATAATAAATTTAAAATCCCGATGACTGTAATGGGTTGCAGCACTCATGTTTTCACAAGATTAAATGTACGAATGTAAAGATAATTTAAAATACATATAAATTTAGAACAAACGCGAAATGTCAGTAAGTAATATAAAAATATAATTTAAAAGTAAATCCCTGACACAAAAAAAACTCTAGTTATGGCTAAGAACCATCTCGATCGCGTCAACTTTCAAACAAAAACCTAACCTAACCACACCAGAATCTGTCCATTCATTTAGCTTTTTAGAAGCTACGATGCCACAGACAGACCTAAAACAACCCCTCATTTTACGTCCGCGGTTAAAAATAGTTGAAATTCAACAACGCGCATTGTTTGCGAATTACATAACCGGCAATCGGAGGATTGAAAAGCAGACCAATAATTAATACAATGATAATACTTTATTATTAATGGCAGTCTGTGGAGGAGGCCTATGTTTAGCAGTGGACTCAAACAGGCTGAAATGATGATGATGATGATGATTAATAAAGTTACAATCAGAATGAGTAAAACATACTCGATCTCCGAAATAGGAATAAACAAAATTTATTAACTATTTTCTATTACATATTTTACTATTTGCACCGATTGACGTGTAGTTGACAACAGGAAATGCTCCGTCGTGGACACTCTTTAGCCATTGACGTCAATGGTATATTTGGTGAACAGCAACGGGAAATGTTGCATCAGCAATGTTAAATTATTAATTATCCAGCCCATATCTCGTAACATGGTCTAACCATAGTGTCCCTGCAATAGATCGTGGACCCCACCGCTACGAAGCCGGAGGACTGGGACGAGGAGGCGCCCGCACAGATTGTGGACCCCAACGCGGTGAAGCCCGACGGCTGGCTGGACGATGAACCCGAGATGATACCCGGTGAGTAATCTCCTAAAAATTAAAATTAAAATATGTTTATTCAATACTACTACTAATTCAGAAAAGGAAAGCCTCTGACCTGAGAAGAGAGAACTGGCAAAAGACTCAGTGGGCTAATTTTATTTAACCATTACTTGTCAATGAAATATGTATAATATTCCATGAATCAGTCTGGAGCCTCATTATTATAGAGACTAAACTCTCATATGGATGTAAGAACCTCATATCAGAAAGTAGAAACTCCTGCATAAAAGGAGCTAGCTACTTTGATATAAGGTAACAACAAGTGTGTCACATGTTAATGATGTATACAAAAGGAGATTTCAAGTTCCCATTTATCCATGATTTCACAAGCATTATATGGACGACACTGTCACATGTTCTAATAGCCTATACATGTTCCTGAGTTCTGTGTGCCTCCTTTCAAAGGCCTCCTCTAACAATTACCACTGTTTTCTATCCTTTTGGACTCATTTTGGAATCAGCACAAGGTTACTTTCAGCAAAATGTAATCCTCCAAGTTGGTCTGGCTTTGAAACAATGAGTTAAAAGGTTGTTGATTTGATTTATAAAGTATCTTCTTAGACCATCTTGTAGTCAACAAATAAGAAAAAATAAATTGTTAAAATGATAACTGTTTGAAAATAATGTAATCGAAACTAACAATGAGGATATTGAAGAAAACCTTGGTTGCCTATTCCAGACCCCGAAGCCAAAAAGCCGTCAGACTGGGACGAGGATATGGACGGCGAGTGGGAGGCGCCGCTGGTGGACAATCCGGCCTGCGCCGCCGCTCCGGGATGCGGACCCTGGACGCCCCCCCTCGTGCCTAACCCCGAATACAAGGTGGCTGCTACTGCTGCCACCACTACCATCACTGCCACTTCTGCAACCACTGCCACCACTGCCACCTCTGCCACCTCTGCCGTGGGGCCGTCACATTAGCGCTCCAGGGCACTCCACATCCCACTATACTAACCATGTGAATTGATGTCTCCTTGGCGCAGTTGCCATCGTATCGGCTTCGGCGCCGGGGTTCATGGGTTCGATTCCCACACGAGATAACTATTTGTGAGACCCACAGATAACTTTCGGTTCTAGGTGTTTGTCCACGTAAAATTTATGCATGCAAAACATCCTTACAACACAGAATAATGTTATCCTTGATCTGATCTTGTAGGTTGCAAGGGTCATTGTGATTTACTACCCCTAAACCAACCCCTCACACGAAATACCCAACCACATGAAAAGTGACAGTGTCATTGTCTGACCATGTCTACTAATGTCCTCCAGGCACTGGCATTGAACTAAATAAAATATGCAAGCATAGAAAGAGATCATCATCTATCAAATTGGATAAAGGTGTTAAAATACTAAAAAATTAAACTGTTGCATAACAAGCAAACCGAGGAATTACCATTGTTAAACATCTGGCGTTTGCACAATTCACTCAAGTTTCACTTTCACAAATGGGTAGGATGTTATGTAGGTATTATAAAGGTTTATGAAATATTTTTTCGGTGGCAGGGCGTGTGGAGGGCACCGCTGGTGGCCAACCCTAACTATCGGGGCAAGTGGAGCCCTCGCAGGATCCCCAACCCCCACTACTTCAAGGACGAGAATCCCTTCAAGATGACGCCGATAGTGAGTCCTTACCTTATCAAAGCTCAATTAATGTTAATCAATTAACTGTGGTTTATTAGGTGTTTAAAGTTGAATTCTGCAAATGGAAATATTGGATGTGTGTAATAATATAAGGATACGATTCTTCTTTATAAGCAGTACCTAGATTTTCTACATGTTGTATTAAAGGATCTTTTTTATTAGAGTTGTGTGTAAATAAATATACACCAAAAACTATAACAAAAGAAACTACCGTAACAGATAAACTAGAGTAAAGTAACCGCCTATAAATGTCCAAATGCTGGGTAAAGGCCTCCTCTGTAAAGAGTTACTTCTTTCTGTACTTAAAAGAGGTTATCAGGGCATAGTCCACCATGCGATTATTATTTCGTAAATGTTTTTCTTATGATGTTTTTCTTCACCGCAGAGCACGTGATAATTGAGAACTTAAAATTAACAATTACATTGGTGCTGGCACTGGGAATCAAACTCAGATTGCTTGAGCTATCACGGCTCAGAAACTGGAGCGATATAAATAATTACCAGATAACTAGCAAAAATTTATTGAATAATGCTGTTTCATGTAATACATTAAAAATGCTTTATTATAAATTATATAAATGGTTATATTCAAGCTTTGTTACACTTAAGACAGAATAATTATGGGGTTGCTGTACTCAAAAATATGTTTCCTCATGGCACGATCGTTAAAATGGTCAATTGCCAATGCTGTGTTCGATTTTACTTTGTGTACGTGTCGCGTTACACTAATAATACGGTGATTTATTTTGATAAAACATAATGCATGTGGTGTTATAACGAAAGTTTTTTTAAGTGACCATTACCGACGCCGTTTCTGTCGTTTCCGTTGCAGACCGCCGTTGGTTTCGAACTGTGGTCGATGTCGCCGATGCTGCTCTTCGACAACCTGGTGGTGACCGACGACCTGGCCGTGGCCGAGCAGTGGGCCCAGCAGACGTACGCCCTCAAGCGGACCAAGATCTCCAGCGACTCGGTGAGTGCCCGCCCCGCCCCGCTCCATGCCGGTAGGGGGCTCGACTCCTGTAAACCTTGGTGCCGGAGTAACTGGCTCCGACGCCGGCGGTCGTGGGTTCGATTCCCGCACTACAACTATTTTTGTGACTGTTTCACTTATAATTGTTTCGTATCACATGAAGTCTCTGTATGTAAAACCAATGGCATTAATAACCATTGTGAAGTTAACCAAATGGTGCATTTTTTCCTCGTTTGATGCAGAGATTATAGTGTTATGAATTTATGACATTGCAACAAGGTTAGAACATTAAAATCTAGAGCTTAAGTCCAATATTAAAACGAGTTTTCAGTAATTATTACAGTAGGTGATGAATGTATAAAGTGCTTTGATCAAATAATATTTGATTACCTTCCAATACCTAAATGATCATTCTGGGGACATTTGAATGGAATATTTTTTTAATGTTTTAATACATCTTTTTTAAAAATATTTTATGCAGGTGATATAGTCTTTTATTTTTACGAATTATCAAACAAATCACCAATTTTATACTTCATTAAAAAAAACTGTGCTATACAGTGCTATAAAGATTTGATGTCGTGGGATTGGTGATTGAATTCGGGTTTGGCCTCTGAGGGGAATCCAAAGTTAAGCATTGCACGCGGTCGCAATGGGTTCGAACCCGGGCTGATGTCTGACGGCCGTTGGGTGCAGCAAAGCATTTGGGGCCGTCTGCTGCGCGCCACCAACTACAAGCCGGGCCTGTGGGCGGTGTACGCCGTGTACTGCGCCATCCCCGTCTCCATCTACGTGGCCTACCTGGTCCGGCGAGCGCGAGAGGTGACTGGCTCCGCAGTGGCGCTAGTCCCTCGTGGCTCCTCACAGTATCGCTAGACATCGTCGATTCGAATCTCATTCACTAATGCCCGGTTCCTATATTCAACGAACGGCCGTTAGTTACATAAATTGATAACTACGGTCGTTCGTTGAATATAGAAACTGGGCATTCGTGGTTGACCTAAAACTAGTAGCTTTCAACGTAGTTACCCGCTCGTAATCTAGTTGGGCCAGGAATTGTAGGAGAAGACGCTAGGTTGTACCTGAGTAGTGGAAGAGACGCTCGATCCTCGGCGGAGAGCGCCTCTGGGCGTGCTAGCGCCGTCCAGGGTTGCGCAACGTCGCGTAGAATGCTCAGTGAGTAGGCCAGCGGTTCCGCAGGACAGCCTGGCGGAGCGGGCGCTGCGGCTGGCCGGCGAGCAGCCCTGGCTGGCGGCGGCGGCGGCGCTGGTGGCCTTCGCGCTCATCGCCGGCCTCTGCTACCTCTGCTGCGGACCCTCGGCGGTCGGTGGCGACACTATAGCGATACGCATGCGACACTCTTGCGATAAGCATGCGACACACATGAGACACTTGCAATCTGCATGCTAAACAAATGCATCACACATGAGACACTCTTGCAATCTGCATGCTAAACAAATGCATCACACATGAGACACTCTTGCAATCTGCATGCTACACAAATGCAACACACATGAGACACTCTTGCAATCTGCATGCTACACAAATGCAACACACATGAGACACTCTTGCAATCTGCATGCTACACAAATGCAACACACATGAGACACTCTTGCAATCTGCATGCTACACAAATGCAACACACATGAGACACTCTTGCAATCTGCATCCTACACAAATGCAACGTACATGATACACTCTAATGAGATACAAGGGATACGCATGCGACTCTCTTGCGATACGCACGCGACAGAAACATGACTAGCACGCAGCATCGACGCGACACACGTGCGACACGATCATTTAACTAATGAACACAATGTGTATTACAGGGGAATTATCCGTGTCGGCGTGTAGCAAAGCGAAACACAATATGTGATCACACACACGCGCGACGATTATGAAATGATAATCTGAATAACACACATGGAAGACACACAACATTAACAAAACCTAATATAACATTACCATTATTTTATTTTTTTAATTATTAACTGTGTTATTTGATGTGGACCCGTGTTTGGTTCACCTCAGTTTTACAACCGAATATGAATTCGACCGAAAATTTGACTTATTCATATTATTTAAACAGCCTCCAAACATTTGGTAAATATTTAATTTTTAAGTATAAAAACCGTTATCTAATTTCACATTTTTCTTAATTATCAGTAAGAATCTAGCCAGTGCACTCATCAGGAAACATCATTAAATACAGTTCCACGCTAGTTGGGTATTAATGTAACATCATCATACACTTTTCTATCAAACATTCTTACACCCAAACCTGCCACTGATTATCACCGATGCACAAACTTAAAAGTGCTCTTCATCATTTATCTGTTACTCGCTAATAAAAAGATACAATTATACAGGTTGAAATTGAAGTCATGAGCATCCTTTTAAACTATATATGATACTAGTTACATTAGGACTAAAATTATGTTAATCAAAAATTACTTATGCATTATTAAAGTAAGTATGGAAATCCTCAAAAATCTAGTTAACATTGAGTATAATATTTTGTGGTCACATTACAATATATTTTTATTGCAAATAATCAGGAAAAATAATAAAAACATGTAACGAAGAAATAGTTCAACAAACCAAAGGGAAAATGATGTAATAATTCAAGTGCAAGGTCCTTAGGTAAGTCTTAGTTTAAAAGGATGCTCTTGACTTCAATTTCACCCTCTACATATCTAAATGAACATATTTAACTTCAAACGATTAACAATAATTGTACAACACTTAGCAGGATCCCGATGCAGATTACAAGAAGACTGACGCGGTGACGGAGGATGACCCTCCGCAAGAAGAGCCGCAGACGCAGAAGGCCAGCAAGTCCACGCTGGAGGGTCCGGAGCCTGAGGAGCAGACTGAGCAATCGGACGACCAGCTCGCTGACCAACAAGAGGAGGAGCAGACCGACCAAGAGTCGGAACCAGTCGAGTGAGTCACCTGTCTTGCATACAGTGGTGGTAGGGCCATCCAACAAACGTCTCTGTTGCACGAATGGGCAGCCCCGTCCGGGTGAGTACCACGACCTCACAGAAGACCGGCGTGAAGTGGAAGTGTTACAGAATAAAAAAATATTTATGTGGGGCTCCCATAAAGTTTTTATAGACCAGTTATACTTGTGCGTTTCGTCTGGTGAGAAAAACTCTTGTTGTACTTAAACTACACATGGGACGTTACTCTGCTCTTAGAATGATGATCTCATTGGTTTCTGCACAATTTTGCAACACATGGCATTGTGAATTGAAAAAATTTTGAAAAGTCCGTTCAGCGTCTGCACCTGTAAGCTGGCAGGAATGAACTAAAAAAAACTCGCGCAGGAACGGTTCCGTACCATTATCTATAAGAACGCCAAAAAAATCATGTTTAATGGGAGCCGTATTCACCTAAATATTTTTTATTCTATTTTTTTAGTATTTGTTGTTATAGGGGCAACATAAACACATCATCTGTGAAAAATTCAACTGTCCAACTATCACGGTTCATGAGATACAGCTGCACGTTTTAGCCTGTGGGTACGGAACCCTAAAAAACCTCTCGCGGTACAGTTCAAAAGCCACGCCCATCACGCTACAGTATTCGTTATGCCATTTTGGTGCACAAACAATGCTTCCATGTTTTGTTAGCGTTTGCTGTAAATAAGTAAGTATAAGTTATCACTTAATTTGGTGAATTACGTTACAGAAAGGCTCAGATCGACACAGAGGGCGCCGGTGACGGCCAGAGAAAGCGGAAACCCCGCAAGGAGTGAAGCATTGAACTCAACTAGACAGCTAGAAAACTCCTAATTTATTGAGTAGGAATTAATTAAGGTACAAATAATTAGTGGATTTTCATACGACGTCGGTTCTCCGTAGTCTTTTCATTTAGGTATAGCAAATATGTCACTATACGTTAAAAGTATCTATTCATGTCTATTGTGTACTCTATGAATTTATTTATAATATTTCTTGTGTGTTCAATTATTTTTTATGGAATTTGGGACGGAAACTTGATCAACAAGATATATTAACGCTTGTCTGTATGTAATTTTATAATCTATTAGTGATGTATTTACTCTAAACACGACAAACACATAATTTGTATAATTTATAACTATAATATTTTGCATAATTCTTTGTTTTCTTCATTTAAGCTATACTAACGATGTTTTCCTTCCAATATTTTCTTTTTTTCCTGCATGAATTGCTTGGTTGCATGCTTGCAGGTAATTATGCATAATTATCTCAATGAATTAGGATTTGTTTTAGTTTCTAAAGCCGATACCAACAGGACTCTTTAAGTTTGAGCGTACGAATAGTGTTATTCATATGGACTGTTACGATTATATTGCTATCCCTTTTGTACACGTTAAGGGCAGTGAGTGCGAGAGAGACGCATGAGGTCACTCAAGGTCAAGGTCACTGTTGGTATCGACGCTACTGTTTGGTGTGAGCCATAGCGCGTTGTGTATTTTGTTCGCTGTTTAACTTTTGTTATATCGTTTTAATCTCTCCCTTGACCGAATGTTGGGATTTTACACACTTTATTACGATTTACTACCTATACCTATGGGATAGTCGGATTTATATTTGTAATTTTAGACGAATTATTAACTTCGGTATATATGATAATTTTCGTTTTTTTATCACATATCCTGTCAAAGGTTTGACTTTATCATTTTAAATCCGACCCACACCTACCAAAGAAGCGAAATTCACGGTGTGCTCTTGATTTATTTTAGTAGTGAACAAATACTGTTTCAGTTGTATTCAAATATTTTTATTTGTTCGTATATTCAGTAGGGAACAAATACATACTGTTTCAGTTGTACTACGATTGTTTTTATTTGTTGTATCATTAAGAGGAACTAATAATATTGAGTGGCGGTTGTAAGATATTATTTTCTGCGTCTTAACTTTTATTTGTATATTGTGTGGAGTTTGTTGTGTGTGGTGTTTTGTTTTCATTTCCCTTTGCTTCGTAAAGCATTTCAATATATTAATAATGTGCAGATATTTCTAAAACACCCGCTATTTAACTATGAAACACTTAAAGAAATACAAAAACTTCTGATATTTATCTCAATTCTATTATTTTACACTTACTCCTTCAAATAAAGATAGAAATATATAAATTCGTGTAATTATAGCGATGATTATTGTGTATCCTGTTTGCTTACCACATATAACCGCGAGTGTTTTCGAATTAATAGTTTGTACGTAGATAATGTTAGAATGTAAAAAATAAATTAGAAATACATAAGGAGCTGCGTACGGATCTTTCCTCTCTTTTTGAGGGTCCATATATTGTTTTCTCTGTAACAGGGCTGATTGAAGTGTATTTCATTTGTTTTTTTTTACTGCTATTATATGTTACTTCGTCCACTTTCTAGGGTTCCGTATGAGCTATCAATATATACAGCGTGTCGTTACAACCGCGACATTAAAAGAACACACATATAGAGGATAACTTTTTAAAATTGTATTAAGCATTTACATTTTTTAAACATCAATATTTACCGAGTTATTAAATCTTACAAAACAAACATTTTTTAGTTTAAACCCTTACGTATAAAACTGTAACGTAAAGTTCCTTTGTAATGGTCACAAAGCATATGAAATTTTTTTTTAATTATGGATTTTGTTTAACGTTAATATTTTTTATGACTATTGGCAAGTAGCGTTAGACGTGTGTTCATTTATTGTCGCGATGGTAACGACACGCTGTATATGTATGGAAGTGAAATAATATACCAATTCAAATCTTATGTTTATATGTTACTGATATACATGTTGACCACATATGACAAGATATTTATGTTAAACAATATTTCGTTATGTAGTTGAAGTACTCTGATGTAATTATACTTTATATGTTTACAACGGTAGCTAGCGAATTTTCCCGAAGTATTAGTTTGTCTGCGTGGAAAGAATCTGTGTGTAACTGTAATAGGAACGGGTCAGCGGACTGGCATTTATGTTTAATAATTAAATAAACTATTTCACTCGAGTTTTCATTCATTTTTTTTTATGTGAGAAGGTGGCAACTGAGATGGAGGTTAGCAACACCCGTAGGGTTGCAGGTGCGTTGCCACCTTTTACAAGTGGGCTCCGGCTACCTCACTCTCGCTGCTCTTTGTGAGGTCGTGGTACTTCTCCGGACGGGTCTGCCCATTCGTGCAACAGCCGAAGCTGTTGTGTGACCCCACCACAGAGAAATTTAATTTCCTTCTATAGAGAAAACAGACGCTGTGGCGCAGTTGCTAAACTATTGGCTTCGTCGCCGGGGGGTCGTGGGTTCGATTACGGCACTGGGTTGAATATTTATGTGATCCACAGATAATTGTTCTGGGTCTGGGTGTTTGTCCTCATGGAGGGATGACGACAGGCAGGCGGCGGGTCATAAAATCATAGCTGATACCTATCATGATGACTCCGTGGCACAGTGACCAAGGCGTTTAGGAAAGTTGGCTTCGGCGTCAGGGGGTTTGATTCCCTCACGGGAAAACTGTTTGTGCGACTCCAGATAGTTGTTTCGCATCTGAGCGTTTGTCCATGTGAAATTTATGTTTGTAAAACGTTCTTACAACACATGATAAAGTTACCCTAAAGTAAGGGCAATGTTTTTAAAAGAAAAAAAAATACCATTTACGACCCCACCTAGGTGGGATAAAGGCTGAAGTTTTAGTTATGTGTTCACTTTGAACATAGATGATTCATATACTAATGTTTTTAATAATTTTCAAACGTCCGGGATGAAGTTAAGTTCTAAATTGTAATTTTTTGTAAAAATATGAACAAAACCTCGTCGCCTGCGGGATTCGAACCGGCGTGTTCAGGTTTCGCGCATAGACGCTTTACCAACTAACTTAAGCGGTCGTCGGCGCTGCGGGATTTACAATTTAAGAGTTTCTTAGGTTCCGTACCATTGCCTATAAAAACGGTAAAAAAAATCATGTTTGTTGTATGGGACACTCGAATATTATTTTACCTTGTTTTTTTTAAATATTAACCTATTGCATAGCTTTTATCGCGGGCTTTGAGCGCAGCGACCGTATCAAGAAATTCTGTAACGAAAATAAAACCTAACACCACCCACTCCGCCTACCATGTAAAAGGAAAGATTTGATTGTTTATATGCATTGAAAAGGCTCCGAAACTACCGAACCGATTTGAAAATTTCTTTCACTGTTGGGAAGCTACATTATCCCCGGATGACATAGGCTATATTTTATTTTTAAAAACTAGGGATCCTTACTAAAATTTCAATAATATAACCCGAAGTGTACAAAAATTACCTAAAATATTCTTTACATCGCGTGCGCTGCGATAACTATTGATAATAAAATAAAATAATGTAAAATTCGAATTTGCAGAACACATCTAATCGTCTAACTATTATAGTTATGCCACAATAAGTGTTCTTTTATTTTAAAATTTTGATTGAAATGCCGCCGCTAGAAAAGGCTCTTTATTTTTATCTTGATATTAATCCTTATAAAAATAAATTACTTCGTATTTCGACTGTTTCAATATCTTTATATAACTTTTTGAATCATTAAATTCGGACATTACACTCGAAAGATATCACAAGTTTAAAAATGTTAGTATATTGTAATTTAACTATCCAAACAGCGTAGTGACTGACTTAGTAGTTCTTATCATTTTTGTAAATAATATAAATAAATTATATACAATTAATTTTTGTTGTTACATCACCTGTGAAAATTTCAACTGTCTAACTATCACGGTTCATGAGATGCAGCCTGGTGTCAGACGGACAGACAATAGGGTCCCGTTTTATCCTTTGGGTACGGAACCCTAAAAAATAATCCGAAAATCGGTTTTAAGTAACGGCATACTTCACTATGTTTTTTTAATGTTCTCTAATAATCAAACCTCTTGAAAAAGGAGTGGGGGTCGAAGTTCGTTTTCCACCGACTTTAAAGAGGAGGCACTCAATTCGGTTGTATGATTTTAAAAACCGGCATAGTACTATATTATCTATAAAAACGGCAAAAAAAACATGTCTGTTGTATGGGAGCCCCACTTGAATATTTTTTTATTCTGGTTGTAAGATATTGGTTTTATACATTTCAACCGCTGACGTTTACAGTATATAGATATCCGCAGATACAGATACGGATATCCGGACATCACTAATGTTAAGTCATTATCGCCGCCGGTGGCTATCTAGAACGCATGAATGGTTGTCGACGCGTTGCCAAGCACTAAAAAAGGTGGGTCCCGGCTACCTCCCTCACCCTCACAAATGCGCCGGTCTTCTGTGAGGACGTGGTACTTACCCGGACGAGTCTGCCCATTCGTGCAACAGCAGAGGCGACTCTTTTCGTTTTATGTAACCATTTACCAGGACGCTCCCGAAACAAATCATTCTTTTCTCACGAGTTACTTAAACATTTTTTCACTTGCCTGCCAGCCTGATAGTAGTCCATACATGGCAGCAGCTCTACTTATCGACTAGTTAAATCCAGTGTCCCCAATTATTTGCGAACGTGACGTTTTTGTGCTGCACCTACACGTATCTATCGAATTCAAAATGGATAGATGGTCTGCCGAGAATGATTTTACATTAATATATATTCATGCAGCCCCGGAAGATTTGGCCAACCAATCTGTAATCCAAACCCTTTGCTTTCTCCCTCTTTTTGGTATATAAACACTTTCCAATTCATAGCTTAGTATTGTGGTCGTAATCTCAATACGGCGTTTTCAATCACCTCGACAACTGGCATTAGACTCGGCA